ATGAGAGACAAACTAAAGCCTAATATTAGATTATAATTTTTCATACATAGCCAAATCTCATCAATTCATTACACTATACAGGTACCTGTGTCTGAAGATATAGAATATTATGAAGATGCTTTAAATAATCATACTATGTCAAAAGAGATAAAGGATATTCAGCGTAAAAAACTTAGAACAATAACATTTACATCTGAAGTTTTTCAAACATTGGTTGATGATGAAACTACTGTATATTTGTCTAATCCTGTTTCTTTAACTACATCTGGATCCGTAAAAGGAAAAAATACAACAAAATCTTTTAATATCAAAAATGATAAAATTATACAACAATTAGAATCGCATATAACATTTAATGTGAGCAAATTTATGTTATATGAATATCTTAATTCTGCTTTATGTAATGCATGGTACCAATTAATTCTTTTACTATAATAACTTGCATGACAGATTATAAATATGTGATTTTTTTATGATTTAACTTAAAATAATTATAATTAATAATAGTAATATATAATTTAATTGCAATAATTTTTAATAACCAATGATTTGTCTCTCATTCTATCTGATAACATTTTATAAATATCTCTTACTCGTATATTTATAATATAATTTATAATTAATATAACTTCTTATATCTTTTACAATAACATTTTGTTTAAAATTCAATAATTTTGCGTGATTGAATTGAATATTTTAAAATGATTCATACAATTTTAAGTTTGCTAACATAATTTTTTAGATACCAAGAGATGGTAGTCCACAAACAGGTGGATTATTATCTATTGCTACAGGTAATTGGGGATGTGGATCTCGTTTAAAAGGAGATCCACAATTGAAGCTTGTTATTCAGTGGCTTGCTGCTTCTTTGGCAGGAGTGCCAAAATTAATATATTACACCACAGGAAATCCCAGTTTGTCAAAGGTAATAAATATAACATAATTGTGTGTGTGCGCGCGCGCGCGTGCGTGCGCGTGCGCGTTATTTTTTATACAATTTTAGTTTTTTAATTTTATTAATTTTATTTTTTTTTAATTTTAGTTAGATACTGTAAGTAGAGTTCTCATGGATAGACATTGGTCAGTTGGTGATTTAGCTGCGGCAACATTAAGATTTGCATTACACATTATTGAAGAAAGAACAGAAGGAAGAAATACTCTTTTTGAAGAAATAATTGGTATGGATAAACCAAGTCCTTAGCCCGATTCAATGCTGTCAGTTTTGGTAGATATACTTGCTACTATGATTGAAGACAGCCTATTAAATACTTGAAGATAATACCAAAATAGTACAACAAATAAGTGTGTGTCTTTTGCAATTTTTGAAAGTAAAATGTATTTCAGAAATCATTTGTAAGAAATCTTACAGTGAGAAAAAATTTTAATTTTTTAAGATTTATATAAATCAGAAGAAAGAAGAAGAATCAGAAAAAGAAAACATGAATTTTGTGAATTAAACATTTCATATCAATATCAAATACATTCGCACAACTTACAACGTACAAAGATAAAAATTGAAAATTTCGTATACATTTTAGAAAATATTATATTACATATTATATAAATAACATGAAATATTCTTTGCAACATAAATAACACAATTATTTAGTGAAATTACATAAAAAATTTCACTAAAATAAAATTTGTCCAAGTTCAATTATTCTAGTCATATGAAAAGTCAATTCTGTTTTATGTTTACAAATAATACATAAGATATATAACTTAATATAGTTATTTGCAATAATTAACGAGGCACAATATACTATACTATATTTTGTACAGTATAATATTTATAAGTCGTTATATATATTAAGTAAAAATATGTAATACTCAAATAGATTTTTAGATAAAAACTATAGTCGTATTTTATAGGCCGCTTTTTTATATTTGAATATAATTTATACAAAATAGATTACATAAACTATAAAAATTAAATATGTAAGAAGAAAGGAACGTGGCCTCTGAAAATATAAATATAAAATATATATACATACTATGAGATGTCTTCCATAAAAAAAACATAATAATAATCTGTATCAGCCATTTGTAAGTACATTCTCGATGTACGTTTCACTTTAAAAAATATCATATAGAATGTGTTTCAAAATTTTCTTTGTATGTATGTTATCTCTTTGTATATTTAAAAAAAATACGAAGCACATATTAAAAGATTTATATAATGAAATAGATATATAAAATTTAATTTATCCTTATAAATTGAAACCAAATATTGCAATATTTATTTTATTTTTATATTTATTTTTATGAGGTACAATATCTATTACAACATTTGATTTATTAACCAAATTTACTGCATTGAATTTCTGAAATTCCAGAAGTATTCATTATAATTTTTAGAGTAAAAAAGGTACAAGTATAAAAAAACAATGAATTTCTATTTACTCATTACAAAAAAAGGCTTCGCAAACGACGACCAACACCTTGCCTATCATACAAAATATTGAATTTATTAACAAATTGATTTATATTGTTGCAACCTTTTGTTATAATACCGAGATACGTCATCAAGCCAAAATCATTACATTGCTAAAAAATATAAATAATATATTAAATATGTAAGTAAATTGTTTTTTTGATGATATTGTAACAAATACTTACATTATAAAAATCTGCTTTGAATTTAGGATTATTTAAAACTGGTAATCTGTGTCCTAAAGAACAAGCTGCTCTTAAAACTTCGTGATTTCCTTTCAATTCTCCATTCTGTACAGCTTGTACATATTTTAGAACTAATTTTACTCTTGAATGTAACATTTTTATAGCACTATGTTGTGCAGTGAGATGTTCAGCAACTATTACAAATTACTAATGAAATGTCATTTTATTTTTATAATTATAAATTAATATAATATGAAGTTACCTAATGAACTCTCTCCTTGATCATTACTACACATTCTTGCTACATGATCTACTCCAATTCTTTCTGCTTCTTCTGTTGCTAATGTATAAGTCAATGGAACAAACAACATTGTAGCTTCTCCATTTACTAAATCAATTACTGATTCATACATAGAAACAGAAAGTTGCTAAAAAATGTAATGTGTCATTAAATATAATACATATATAAAATTAATAATAAAAGCAAATACATACATCAGTATTTTTTGGTCTTGGATCAAGTTTTAATAGCACAGGACTCTCGTTAATTTCACAAAGTTGTTTATGTACTGTAATATCTCTTTCATTAGGCATGTCACCTGTAGTATACCATCCAAGAAAATCCATTTCACTAAAAACTTGCTTAAATTGTTCTTCTTTAGTATTATAATAGTCTCTATCAATTATCACATCATCTTTAATACATGTAAACATTAATTCAAAAGAATTCATAATTTCTATGTTGCGTCCTTTCTGTTTGCCAATTAATGCTCCATATACTAAAATATTAAATTATGAAGAACATAAATAATTAAGCAAAAAATGAAAAATATGCAATATATATATACCTAATTGATCTGTTCCTTCTTGGGCACGAAGTCTAGTCCAATGTTCACTAACATTCATTATAACAAGAGGATGAAGACTAATAGAAACAGAACCAACAGTACCTGAAGATGCCATTACTTTTATAGCACTAGGAGTATTTGTTGACATAGTATTATTTTTTCCAGAAGTATCATCATCAACTTCCATTGGTGTATCCGTTGAAGCCGTTGCATTATTTTCATCAACTTCCATATTTAATTTCTATTTCTATTTGTTTATATTATTTACAATATATGTAAAATTATTAATTAATATTCTACAGAATAATTTGTAGATTATATAAATTTTATTACAATACCTAATATTTTATTTAAATAAATCTCTTTCTATATTGATAATATATCAATAAATATAATTAAATAATATTTCTTGTTTAAATAATATCAGCTGTACAATATAAAATCACTAATTCAATCATATGTTTTTTTACAATTATATTTTATTATGCATTTGACATTGTCAAATTTAGATGTGCATATATAAGTAACAGATAGTGCACAATATATTTTGAAATATACTTACGAAATATTATTTTATGATATAAATTATTTTAAATCTAGATAAAGTATAACCAATCTGGAATTAGCAATTACATTGTACATACTAGAAGTTGCACCAAAAAATGTACTAGGATGAAAATTTTTTATATATATAGGGTGATTAAAAAAAAGAATTATAAATTCTAGAGTAAATAATATTTACTAAAAAATAATAAACATAGTTCGAAAAATAAATATTTTCAAAGTTATAAACAATTTTTTATTTTCATTAAAGAGAATAATTTTTTAAGTAATTTTGAAAAATATATAATATGAAGGATTAAGCATGAGTGGAAATTCGAAGAGTTATGAACCAATCATTTTTATTATCTTGTGTATTATATTTATTGAAAATACCAGAAATGAATAAATTAACTTACTAAAGTTCGTGATAAATGTTGACTTTAGCTATTGACAGACGAAATTAAAATCGAAATGTTGCGCAAAATACGTTGATGCTTATCATAATTTTTTTATCAATTGTTTATTTTTTTAAAAATGTCTGTATTTATGATTTTTAATCTTAATAATAATTTATGTTTATTATTGCATAATTTATATTGTTTATTGACATAAATAAATAATTCCATAAAAATTTTATAATATAAAGAAAAATAGTTATTTCATATTTTGGAATTATGAATTTGACCTTAATTCCCCTAGATTTCGATCACGTGGTTTTGTTTATTTCCAATTATGTGCCATAGTGAATATAATATACATAGATATATTATCAAATATAATGGAATTTTAAAAAAAAAAATAAATTCAAAATTATTAAAATAATTAATTATTATTGATATGAAAAAAAATAAAATTATATAAATATATTAAAATATATAATTAAAATAAATTAATAATTGATTGATTATAATGATATCACAAGACACAAATTTCTATGCTAGCCAATGTAAACTAGATTATACATACTAAATGTATGTAAGTACAATTCAAGTAGTCATATTTTTCTAGATTCAATGCAAAGCATATTGAAATGTTATAATTTCGTTGTTTATTTATGTCAGTTTATTTTAAATTAATTATATTATTGAAATTGATACATCATAACAAATCTTCGATATACAATATTTCGTCGACTTAGTAAGTGATTATATTGATTAAACAATTTATCTTAAAAAGTTTTAGGTTAAGTAGAATGAATCTTTGTTAAAGGGCGCAGTTGATTACAAATGTTCAAAAATTTATAAGTTTTTTATTGAAACTTTAAAAAGATTTAAACTTAAAATATTTATTTCACTTCAAGTGCCATTCTTCATTATTTTACAATATTATATTCTTTCTTTTAATTATATTTATAATTTTGATAATACAAAACAAATCAACTGTACTCTGGCAAGAGAAAAATTAGCATATGTAATGATATTACATAAAAATTTTTAGTTTAATATTTGAGGATAAAGAAGTATTATGCAGAATTAAAGCTATTGAGTGCTTTTACATAAAATTTGATTGTATTGTTGATGTCTCAGTATAATGGAAAAATTGATAGGAATTCATCAATTAAAAGATATACTTAAAAATTTTCCAAGAAATATAAAGTTTTGTTTTGCATATGGATCTGCAGCATTTAAACAATTAAACAATGAATCTAACAATATGGTGGATCTTATATTTGTTGTTCGTAATGTAAACCAATGGCATGCTGAAAATTTAAAACTTAATCCTAAACATTATGCTCAACCATTAAGATTTCTTGGACATAAAGCAATTACTAATGTACAAGAAAAATGGGGTGCTAAAGTATATTATAATACATTAGTTAAAATGAAAGAAGGATATACTATCAAATATGGTGTTGTTTCTGAAGTGTCATTAGTAGAAGATTTATTAGATTGGACTGATATATATTTAGCCGGAAGATTACATAAACCAGTTAAAATACTTATGGAACCAAATGAATATTCTCAATTAACTACTGCTTTAGTGCAAAATTTACATTCAGCTGTACATGCAGCTTTATTATTACTTCCACAGCATTTTACAGAAATTGATTTTTATAAAACTATCACTGGCTTATCTTATAATGGTGATTTTCGAATGACTTTTGGTGAAAATAAAGAAAAAATTAATAATATTGTTCTGCCTCAGTTGACATACTTTAAACAATTATATAGTCCAATTTTACAACATTTTGAAAATTATGTTGATATTCCAAAATCTGACAAAATGGCTGTCATATGCCATCAAGATATAAGTCCTGCAACAAAAATACATCATTTAAATCAATTACCAAGAATACCACAAGTTAATCTTGTTAGAGCATGGTCTCAAGGTCCAAGATCAAAAGATACTGAAGATTGTTTACGTGCAATAGCTTATGATCCTGATTGTGGAGAAATATTGGAAGAATGTTTAAAAGAAATTATATGGAGATCTAGTATTTCTCAAAGTCTAAAAGGAATTGCAACTGCTGGATTTGTGAAATCTATTCAATACAGTACAACAAAAATAATGAAGATGTTACAAACAAGCCCACAGATAACTTCCCTTCCAAAACTAGAATCAAGTCAAAGTAAAGTTGAAAGAATAATGGAAAGTGTGAAGAACGAAACTCAATCAAAGGAAACAGATAAACGCGTAGAATAGTAATTATCATACTCATACTTTAATTCTGTCATATGTACTATGTTTTATACAAATGTGTTTTAAATAAAGTTGTTATTTAGTTAAATTATAATTATTTATTCTAGGTATTATTTACCTTAATTTTTAAAAATATTTTTATGAAATATTGTCCCATTCTGTTAAATAAAATAATTAGAATGCATACTTTATATATGGTATGTGTGTGTGTGTGTGTGTGTGTGTGTGTGTGTGTGTGTGTGTGTGCGCGCGCGCGCGCGTGTATATACATATGCGCTTGCTTATGTGTGTGCGTGTATATGTTATATTATTTTTATAGACATATAAGGAATTAAATTTATGCTTTCAGTAATTAACTATGACCACAATGGATTCTGATTCTGAGAGTCAAGACAGTGATGATGGACGGCGATTTCGTTTTGAAGCCACTCGTAAAGATAATGTACAAATGGATACAAAGATGAGAAAATTATCGACTTTAAAATCACAACAAGAATCTTGTTATAGTAATACAGAGCATAAAAATAAAAAAGATAAATTTAAACATAACTATAATAAAGAAGAACATAAACATTCAAAAGAATTGAATAATGATAATAGAGATTCTAAATATTCTACTAAATATTTAAAAAATGAGACAAAAAATTCAAGACGTGAAAATAATAAAGATTATAAAAATTTAAAAGATATTAGTTTAGATACTAAAAATATTCCATTATCTTCGAAACACAAAACAAAAGAGACAAAGAAACACAAAAGTCAAGATCGAAATCTAAATAATAAATCTCAAGAACGATGTCATAGCAAAAATGAAAATGATAGATCACAAAATGGCAAACATAAAAATAAATGTCATGAAAAATATAATAAACATCATACTTGTGATAGAAATCGTGATAAAAGTAATCAGACATGTAAAATGAGATTCGAAGATAGTAAGTTTCGAGAAGAATTTGAAAAATATAATATTCATAAAAAAATATCAGTGAAAGAAGATGAAAAAAAATTTTTATCCAAAAATATAAAACAAGATTATTGCAATAATGAATCATTAACAAAAAGAGAAATACAAAAAGTGGAAAGTCAAGAATATAATGAATTAAATTTATCTGAATTTAACATTCTATCAAAGAAAGGTGAAAATATAACTCATATTTCAAATGTAAAAAATAAAAATTCATTATTACAATTACATGATAAGAATTCAAAGAAAAGATATTTTAATAATGAACATAATGATTCATCAAAAAAAGATATGATAGAAATTGAAGCTATGGAGAAATTACCAAAGGTAAATGCAAGGAAGAATGATTTATTTTATGGTTCCAGTAATAATAATTCTGGTACCATTTCAGATATCTCATTAAATCCTACATCACCTATATTGATGGAATCGAGGAAAAATATAATTGATTTAAATAATAGGGAAGTAATATGTACTTCACTGGAAGAAAATAACATATACATCACTGAACCAACTTCCTTGCATCTCAATAATTGCAATTCTGTAAAAGTAATAGATATTAATGAGAAAATTACAACATACGGGCCGGCTTTACCGCCGCAATTAAAAACTGATCCTTCCAATAATATGGAATCAAATAAAGATTTTATAGGACCTTGTTTACCAAAAAATAATGCACGAAATATAAATGAAAAAATAGAAAAAGATACAGTAAATAATATCAGTCGAGATAATATAATACAAGATGATGTTTCATATTTGGATATTTTCGGTCCAGCATTACCACCACATTTGCTAAAGCAGAAATATAATGATGATATGAATACAAAAATAATAGGTCCTATTCTTCCAAATACTGCAATGTTATTTCATAATTATGAAATAAATCAAATAGAATCTGAAGATGAAGATGGTATAGGCCCATTGCCTGCTAATCATCCAGCATTAGAAAATAATTTTGTATATAAACAATTAGAACAAAGAGCTCAACAAATTAAAAATGAACAGAAAGATGAGGTAAAATAAATTATCTTAATGTTAATATTCACTATAATAAAAATATTTAAAGATTGAAATATTTTAGGATTATGGTATATTAAATCAACGGGAAGAATGGATGACTGAGTTACCACCAAGTCAAATCAATAATTTAGGATTAACATCACGAAAATTTCGAATGAGAGCAGGTCCAGATATGTCTGATAGATCATGTTGGACAGATACTCCTGCAAAAAAAACTGAAAAACGAAAACGAGTAAATACATTACCATTATGTAAATTACTAAAGGAATTGCTAAATATAAATTAATGTTATATTTTATATTATAATGTTAAATATTTATTTTTATTTTAGGAAGAAGAAAAATTATATAATGACAGGACATTAATTACAAACTTATCTATTGAAAATGATGAAATTGATTATCAAAGAAATAGAAAATGTGAAAAATCACTTTTAGAAATACATCAAGATAAACTCCGAAAGAAAAAATTGGTATTTATTTATTTAATAAAATTTTATTTATTTTTTTTTTTTTTACATATTTTTTGTATATAATATTTTAATAACAATTTTAGAAAGAAGAAAAAAAAACTGGGCAAACAATTAGAAGACCATTTGACAGAGATATTGACTTACGAATTAATCGATTTAATCAGAATAAAAAAAATGCTATTATTAATAAAGCACAAAATCTAAATGAAAGATTTTCCCTTGGAAAATTATGATGGGATCAAAGTAAATATATTTCTTTCTTTTTTGCTTATTTAATTATTAAAACATTATAGAAAGTAAATGAATTTGATGCGATGTAAATTTAATATTTCTTTCAATGTAAACGATTTTGCCAATGAGTGTCTTCAATATATATTTTTATTTAATATATTTTGATATATAATCTGAATTCTTGTTTTTTTTTTTTTTTAATTAATTTTTGTTCATATTATTCAATATTTTATCATTCTTATATTTAATTGTAATTTATAAATAATATTAATGTTGAAGATATTAAATCAAAATTAATATTAATTAATATAAATATTAGTTTATAAAATATAATCTTTTTGAAGTCACTCAGGTAAAATATGTAATATATCATGATATATATTCAATAATTATTTCTTGAATAATTTCTATTGATTTTAGAAATAATAAATCATGTCAATTTAAATTTCATTGTATTATGTATTATTGAATATTAAAGATTATATATGTGTATGCGCATAATATTTTAATATAAAATGTAATAAGTTAGTAAGTAAAGAGATTGTAAGTATAAGTATAAATTTTCTTCAAAAAGAAAAATATTTTTTCTTAATTGATTTTACTATGCAATTAATTTTACCTGTGATTATTTAAGTTATTTTGATGTAATACATATCTTGTCTAATGTAACAATTATATAAGAACAAATATACTTTAAATATACTTTATATGAAAATCATATTATATGTTTAATTTATTCAATGCATATAATTGTTTCATTTTTAAATAAAATAACATATATATTTTATCTAAATACATCAACAAAAGTAAACAAAGTATCTAGCAAATAGAAAAAATCGATATATAAAACATTTTTATATATATATTTACATAACATTTTCAATATATTTAATATTTAATATTATAAAATTTAATATTATAAATAAATACAATATTAAATATTAATATTTTTTTGATAAATCAAATAATAATAAATCAAGTAATAATGAAAATTTTAAGAAAAATTTAATCTAGAATTTAATTGAAAAAATATTAATTATATGATGTAAAAATTAATAAATTATAAATTGACATTTACTTAAATTTAAATTTAACATTTGCATTGCGCGGTAATATACATACGTCCGGCATGGCACTATCAGATTGTTCCACAAGAAAATAGAGGAAAAAATATATGTATGATATCCGCGTGACTCCAGGGATCAAGTTACAGTTTTTTTTTATATTAAAAAAATTATTGTTTAAATTGTTTTCGCATTATACATATATATATATATATATACATATAACTTCAAATTACTTTTATTGAAATAATTATGAATAAGTGATTCATTTGTAAAATTAAATTTTTGACATTTACTTGCAAATTTTACTCAATGGATTCACGTCGCAGTCAATTTAGTATCGCCGTAAGGATTTTATATTTTTACCGATGTGTTATATTCAAAACGTTTTATAATATTATAACCTGAAATTTGTAGAAAACGAATTAAAGAAGATACAAATGAAGAGCAATGTGTAAACGGTATACATCTTACTGCACATTCATATTATCTACAATATTACGTGTGTAAATGCATATATATGCACATACGACCGATTCAACGTCTCCTGTGTGTCTTACTTAACGTGTTTTTCTGGATGAAAAAAGATAGAAAAATACTAGTACGTATCGAAATTATCTACGTATTTACATTTGAGTGTTATTACTTATTGACAAGAAAATTTACAGGGTTAAATTTACGCAGATGTTGCGTACATACTCATTTATATGTATATATTGTTTTTGGACATATTAATCATTTATTTGTTTATTATATCTTGTACATCTCGATATACTTTTGAGAGATTCATCATCATTTCCTATGCTTCTATCATCTATTCGTTTATCAATATATCAAACTGAATGTGTTTACGAATGTCCTTCGCACATTAAATATATAATTTTTCTATTTTATTCTGATAAAAAAATAACGTTTGTATTTCTTGTTTATGGATAGTTTATTGAATAATCGATAATTAATCATTTAAAACAATATATTGTGAATGATTAAAAATCATACAGTACTACTGTGTATGTATTATATTTTTTAACTTCATCATTAATTAGTTCGAAAATTTATTTCACTGAATAAATTAAGATTTTTGTTATATAAAGAAAAAAATTATTATTAAATGATAAAAATATTATTAGTTATTAGCATTGAATAATTATAAAAATGAAAATTATTAAGTGTAAATTAATTGTAAATATAATTGTATATTAATTCAAATTTTATATAAAATATATAATATTAAATTACATAAAATATAAACATATAATCTGAAAATATTATAATTATTTTAACAGGCTAGCATTATTTTGTTCATGGATACATTAATATTTTAGAACTAAATGTAACATATAATGAAGCAATTAAACAAATTTTTAATAAAATATTAAGGTTGACAAGGCAATTTGACATTTTAAAACATGAAACAGTGTTGTTTAAGCCACCAACTTCAACTGTGGCTTATGTTTCTTGTCTTTTGTGTAATGTGCAATAGAGCAGATATTTTAGTATTTTCTGCGGCTGCAAGACATCAAATTGAAGAAGAATTTAGAGACATGCCTGCCAGATTTGGAGGTTTGATACCATCTGAAGGGATTAAGGTATCTATAATTATAAGAAATATTTGTATAATTTTTTCTATATATTATATTATATATTTTAGAAAAAAAATTGAAATATCTAAAAAAAATTAAAGGTTAAATTAAAAAATATGATTTTAATTAATATATAAATGTGAATAGAATAGTTTATGTGTAGAATATTATCAATATAATCAATATTAATAGTGAATAATGAAATGAAAATATATATATAGAATAATATAATAAATAAATTAGAAAAATATATATATTATAGTTTATGAAAAATTTTATATTAGGGGATGGTTGTGTATGCAGAACCACCTACAGCATGTCATGAAATACAGGGTCCTCCTAATAGTACGAGTTATATTGGTAATTGGATATCTTTAATTGCTCGCTATAACTGTAGTTTTGAAAGAAAAGTACGAATGGCTCAGAAAGCTGGTTATGATGCTGTAATTATACATAATGTAAACAGCAATAAATTAGGTAATTCTTATTAAAATAAAATAATTCATTCAATTATATAATTATAGATTATTTTCATTGAAAATATTTACATAATAATATTTCAATATTTAAATAGGCCAATTGATAAATGAAAATATATAATAAAAATGTATAAATATAAATATATATATATATTTTATTACAGAACCAATGCTAGCTAAAGATCCTACAGGAATAATAATACCATCAGTATTTGTCAGTGAAATTACAGGATTGATTATTAAAGAAAATTATTTATATGATGAATTGTATTTTGTATTAATCAATGATGACAGTCCATTCAATATAACACATTTACTTTTACCTTTTGCTATTGTCGTAGGGATATGTTTTCTAATTATGGTTATCTTTATGGTGAGATTTGCAGATTGAATTAATAAATAACATTTAAATTATTATATTTATTGCAAAAAAAGTATAGTTAAAACATTTTTTTGTAAATTATAGATTGTTAGATGTATTAAAGATAGAAGAAGGCAACAAAGACATAGATTACCTAATTCAAGTTTGAAAAAAATTCCTACGCACAAGTATACAAAAGGTGATCCATATGAAACATGTGCTATTTGTTTAGATGACTATGCTGAGGGTGAAAAATTAAGAGTTTTACCCTGTGCACATGGTTAGTATGTGTCAATATGTGGTTAGTATATTGAAAAATTTGAAATATTTTATAACTAATAATATTTATATCATGAATGATATATTATTTATTTTTAGCATATCATACAAAATGTATTGACCCTTGGCTAACAAAAAATCGTAGAGTTTGTCCTGTTTGTAAGCGGAAAGTTTTTGCAGCGGACGAACAAGTTGTTACTGACGAAAGTGATTCGGATGCCGACGATACGACACCTTTGATTCGAGAAGGCCATCAAGGTATAAAAAAAAATTTTTATTTTCTCATTTTAAAAGATATAGAATCATTAACTTATATTTTAGAGAAATAAAAATATTTTATTAGGTACTCAAGGTGGAACATTTTCACGACAGAGAGAGAATCCTTTTAATCGTGCCAGAAGATCGCAAACAAGACAACACGATATGATTCATTTCAATAGTAGTTCTGATTCTGAAGAATTATTAGATACAACAGATGAAGAAGCTAGTGTAAGTGCTGGAGAACCATCTAGTGGCACTGTTTTCAGGCCGTTTGATATTCATAGTATTAATGGTAAGAATTATTTTTAAATATTATTTATCTTCTCATTATTCTTGCCATTACATTTTAATTTAACGTGATTGTTGTTGATTAATATTTGAAGTATATGTTGAGGATTAATTATTAAATATATTTATATAGATATAATTATTTAATCAATATATGATAATGATCAAATATTGAATAAAAGAAAAAGATAATTTTAATTATTTAATTAGGCGAATTACCGGACTTGGAATGTTCTGTGAGCAGTACTAAACCACATACAGTAAATTTATATACAGATGTTGAAGAATTTCCAGCTCCTGTTGTTCAAATTACAAATTGCAATGTACGAACAAATTCACAAACATCGAATTCGGGCGGGTCTGTACCAATCGAAAGTGAAGCTACAAATTTTATTAATACAGATTCTGAAGAGATCAATATTCATGTATAAAATTCGGTTATATCTATTTTTTATTATATATCTATATAATCAATAAGATTGATATGTTCTTTTAAGACATTACAAAATCTGATATAGACTGTTAATAATTCATAACTATACAAAAAAAAAGGCATTTTGAATGCTTTAAGAGCTTCATCTTTTATTTTAAAGAACGAAAAAAATATCATTATTTCTTCTCTATTAATTATACAATAGTTTTCATCGCAAATTTAAATTTATTTCATTTGTCTAATATTAGGATGTCCCATAAGTTTTTTTTTTTTTTTTTTTTTTTTTTGATGAAATAAATACATGATATTTGTTATTTAAGGTTAATTTATTGCTTATATATGAATTGCTCTATTACTTTCTTCCATCTCTCAGAAAGCCTCATTCCCTTTTTGCAAAATTGTTGGGGTTTATTTTCAAAATATTACTTGAGATACCTTTTTATTTCGCTTACGAATTGGAATCATTTATCATGAAGAGAATTTTTTTAGCGAGTACAGAAAATACGATAGAATGTCCCAATCAATCTGTAACAGCTTTTCTCTTACAATCAACATGCGGTTTTGCATTGTCGTGATGTCTTCATCGCTAATTTTGGCCGTTTTTTTGCTATGGCATCTTTTAATTTATCAAGCTGATTGCAATATTTTCCAGAATTGATGGTTTCACCTTTAGAAAGAAGCTCATGATAAACTACACTTTTCCAATCTCATCAAATGCATAAAAGAATTCGGATGAAATCCAGGCTTTGCAACAGTTGAAGGTCTATTGTTCTTAAATCAAGTACATTCTCGATACACCTTTTGATAGAAAATCTAAGTCTCATTTCCAGTGATAATATAAGTCTTTTTAAAAAAAGATCTCTTTCATATTGTTGGAAAAGGAAATCGCACGTAAAGACGCGGTTCATAAAGTCGGTTTCCGACAATAGCTGTGGAACTCAAACTTCACATCGATTGACATATCCTATCTTAGTCAGGTGATTATCTACCGTTTTTCTGGAAATGTTAGTGGCATCTATTCTTCTTGCATACTATATCGGATTTTCAGCGAGCATAATAAAATCTATATTCGTCGTTGCTGGGCTAAATCTCTTAAACCAATCGCAGATGATCCTAATAGTTGTAATACTACTCTTGTAAACAGTACAAATCTCATCTGCATTTGTACTATCATTTTTTTTTAAATAATAAAACATAACAAATGTTTCCTTTGGTTATTCATATTGAACGGTGTAGAAAAAAGTTTTAAAAAAGACTATATCACCAATGAAACGTATTTTAAAAGAGCTTTGGGATGACTGAAACCGATGCCATAAATGTTTGCATATAAAAATAACCAGTTAAAGTCATTCCTAGCATGGTGCGAAAGAAACTTATGGGATACCCTAATATTTACTGTTTTTTCAAGCATTTTTTTTATTATAAATTTTATATATAGATAAATGAAAATTTCTTCTTAAAAATTTGCCATTATTTTAATAATAAGAATCATTGTTATCTTTAGCTTGTTTTAATTAAAATTTATTTTAAATAATATAAAAATAATTATTTAATAGTTAAGACTTCAAATTATTTTTTTTTAAATTTATGTCTGTATAATCTAATTTTTCAAATATATTCGTCAGTTTATGAAAAATATCAAAAATATTAAAACAATTCAATTCAATTGAAATTATTATGAATTATTTAAAATATTTATTTGTTTTAATCAAAATCTTGATAAACATTTGTAAACCAAAATTGAAACATTTAAGATTAATGTTTATTTATAATTTTATATGGCCTAAATATTTTATTTTAAAACTTTATTTTTGATTATCATATATTTATCTTTTCTTTATTTAGTTACCGTAGTATATAGATTTTATTTAATAGGCAATTAGACAGATTCTTTATTCCATGAATGTTAAATAATGATCATTGGCAAATATATATATATTGCCAATATATTGCCAAAAAATATATATATATATAGCAAATGAATAAAAAAAAAATATATTTTTTAATGATATGATTCATAATATATATTTGTAAATATTATTTGTTATTGTATATACATACATATATATATATATATATATATATATATATATATATAAATTAGAAAACCAAAAATAGAATTTTCTTTTATGCAGGACATATAGAAAGATATAGAATCTAAATATATAATAAAATTCTAATGGTAATATCTTGAATGTTACATGTTATATAAATCGAATTAAATTTTTTAAAAAATTGTAGGTATATAATGATAATTCTAACATTGATAATTAATTTTCTAAAAAAACAAATATAAAAAAATATAATTGGATGTTTTTGACATGTCATTTTCTATACATATTCTGTAAATTTGTCTATATTAATAGAAAAGAAAATTTTTTAGCCATTTCCTAATAATGACACAAGAATTATATAAAATGTTGTCATTAAAAAAAAATATTGTGACAGAAGACATATAAATAATAATGGAGATATATAAATAAAAAACATATAATTAATATAAATTAGGAAATGGTTGCTGTGATTTAATTGATATTTAAAGAAAATCTTTCGAAAGAAAAGAACAAAGGAAATATTGTATAAAACTGTGTAAATAACCGGTATGTGTGATCTTATTGTGCATGCAGGCGCTCGTATGTATGTATGTACATGTATATTTTACAATATTAAAGAATGAATTTTTACTTAACCATTATGATATCCGAATCGAAAGATTAGACTTGCTATCATCTTATTGTTTAATGCTAGATGTATTATTCAGAGAAATAAAGAAATATTTATATTTTGTGTTTTATCATATGTAATTTTTACATCGATAAATCAAAATAGCTATAGTATTTAAACGAATCTTGAATAAATAGAAAAATATCGCGTTTAGAAAATTCTAAAGTTAACATATAAAATATTAGAAAACATGTAATTGTTTCATTGTCATCATTGTTAATGATGAAAATAAAATTGGAATATAATTATTATTAATATCAATGTAAAAGAAAATTATTATTATTTCGAAGGTAATCATAAAATATTGAAAATTTTTCAAAAAAGGAAATAGGAATCGATTTGCATTTTTTGCATACACAAAAACTTAGCAAAAATGCTTATAAATGCTTATAATATATATATATATATATATATGTTAATGAAAAAAAATATAAATTATTTGTATTATTAATTGTAAGAAAACAAAAACAATGGATATGAAAAAGGAAAGAATAAAATAAAGAAGTAAAATAAGAAAACGAGGAGAAGAGAATATATGAAAGTTTTGCGGTTATACAGAGGAAAGAGGTTCTAACAACATTCTGTTGAGAGAGAGCGAGTGGCTGCACGTGACGACACAATGCCGTTTGAATTCGCCTCCTTGTTTAAAAATCGGCCAGAGACAGTCACGATGACAAGGAAAGATCGTGCTCCGTTCTTCATAGCTTCGGCCTCTTCAGTCTTCCGAATAGCCTCATCCTCTCCACCTTCGCTATCGCAGCAACCCCGATTTCTTCCTCCACCTCTGAATCTTTCTTATTCATCCTCTTGATCTTTCCTCTTCTGTTACCTATACTGTTCAATATCCTTTTTTCTACCTCTTGCTGCTTCTTTATAAACGGTGATCACAAAATCGAGCACGTTCGATGTGACTAACTAGTTAGTTTTCGACTCGTAATCATAATTATTTTTTTAAATTATTCAAATATAATCTCTTTATGACATCAAAAAACACAAAAATGAAAAAATTAGAGATATTTTTATATATTTTCGACAATTCAATATAAACAAATAATATTGTATTCTTACTTGTGTACATAATATATAGAATTCATTAAAATACATAATTGTATATATTATATATATAAAATTAATATATTTAATTGTATATATAATTGTATATATAAAATACATACGTATATATAGAATATATACGTAGAAAATGAATTGTAAAAAAATTACATTTGGATAATATTTTCGATATGACGCAATTTGTCTATTTATTATTATAATTGCTTCCACATATTTGACTATATTGAAAAAAAAATGCTATTACGTAATGTTTAGCGTCTCGTAAAAAAAACAAAAATTTATCATGGGTATGAAATTTTGATAAAACAATTTTTTGCGGAATATTATATTTTATTTCTTTTTATATTTTTTCTGTTTTTTTATGAAAACAAATTTTCCATCTGAAATGTAAAACATAAAATTTTCATACGTGAAATTTTCTATTCTATATATAAATTTCTTTTTCTTTATTGAAATATTTAATTAAATAAATATTTAATTAATTTTGAAAACTAAAAAAAACTGACATGTAAGATGCAATATGATTACTTACAATATGATTAATAGTCAAAAAAATTGACGAATTATGTATAAAGACAATTATATCTGGATGAATCTTATATTGTTAATAGAAGAAAAAAAAAAATTGTTCAATTAGAGATAATATAGCATAAATAATGGATTGTACAGCATTTTAAATACATATTTATATTTTTTAATAAAGATTGATTTTAGCTCAGTGACTTCTAATAATAATAAGTTTATCTAATAATGTTAGAAAAGATCGAATGAAAAGATCAAGGCAATTTGAGATAATTGAATTATAATATTACGCATATTTAGATAAATTTTTAAAGTATAATCAATTTCAGTCTGGAGAAATTATATTGTTAAAGTTATTAAATATCGTATTAGATGAAGCATTAATCACGTAATTACAAAAAAATAATCAAGAATTTTTCACAAGTCTAATTAATTCTCTTCGATCTTAATGAAATAAAAAAAAATATCCGAATCTATAATCTGTTTTTAACTTGTTATTATTTTTTGATTATTTATGATCAATCCAATGGGAGTCAATTCTAATGATCGAAAATTATCCTTTACTATATATATTTGTAGAGATTACTATATATATTTGTAGAGATCACATTTTCTTCTATAATAATAATATTCAAAATGATTTTTAATGAAAAAATGATTTTAGAGAATTCTAATGTAAATAGAAATATATTTCAAAAATCTGATAGTTTCAAATATATAAAGTTAAAATGTACAAAATAAAGTGTACACTGGAATATAATAATCCGGCATAATAGCATATATATACACTCGAAAATTTTGTATTTTTAAATTGATATCGAAGAATACTTCAAGTGCAAAATAGCAACACCGATTAATAAGCAGACACAGATAAACTCGCTGCAACTTCATATTCTATTTTCTTCGATAAAGGATTAGTATATTTTATCTTTCCAAACTTTTGAAATTTTTTTAATCCGGACAAAACACGATCGTAATAAATTTTCACGTTTAGCTTATTATTATACGATCTACGTACCATGAGGACTATTATAATTTATCCTTGTGCGATTTGCTCGAATAATAATCGAATGGGCTAGTCGTTCGCGTGACTAACCCGTTGTTGTTGCTGCAGTTGTTCGCGAATTATCGATTCGCGAATATTTCCCTTCGTCTGTGGTCATGCGCAGTAATATTCCCGACCTAACTTTGGAATAGAGTGGGGGAATAAGTACAAAAGAGTGGAGGAGGAGAGGGAGATGAACATGCTGTGAAACGTCCTTGATAGGATACGCCTTCTCGTGTATGCGTCGTGTATCCGTGCGCAAGAAAATGTGCTCACTTTGGATGCTAACATGGTACATGCGCTCTGTACTTTTAATGCCGCATCGTCGACAGGTATATTTCGAACATGATTTTCAACTTTAAATGTGTCGATTACTTTTTTATAATAAGCATATATAGATCGTTAAAATGCAATAGTCATCGCAACATGATGTGTCATTAGGTAAACTTTATACAATAACTGTTGTTTGAAACGTATTCGAATAGATAATAAAAATTTTTTTTTCAAATAGATCAAAAAAAAAATTGATTAATTATTGTAATTGTTAAAAGGGATAGATGATATTGCAAAGATATTTCAAATAAATTGGAATTAATTTTTTATTGGATTTACGATAGTAGGTCAGTCATGAAACAAGACGCAAAATCAAATTCGAGGATACCATGATCTGGCGGGCTTTCTTCAATCACTCAATATCTCGCAACTGTCGAATTCGATGATATACCACGGAGCGATGTCCTGTGAACATTTCTATTGCAAATATTTGTTCTTAAATATTATTTAAGATTCAGCAAGTGTGTATAATAAATATTAATTAATATTAATTAATTATACTTGTATAATAAATACTAATTTATGAAATTTATAATAATCGAGAAAAATTATGACAAAAGAAATGTTAATTTATAATGAGCAAATAAACTAGCAAATAAACTAGAATATAATATAGAATTGAACGATGGATAAAAAGATGGATGCATAAAAAAAATTTTTTTAGGACAATCAAAGGAATTCTGGTGAAAAATAGAACTCGAAAGATCGAGAATAAAAGAGAAAGAAAATAAGTAGATGTTAGAAGCGACGTGCTGTGCAAGGCAGAAGGCAACCGACAACGTGTGTACCGTTGTTTTTAGTTGGAAAAATACGGTGAGATAAGAGGATGGAAGAGGTGGAAAATCGGCGATAGGGGAAACTGCGCAAGAGGGAGGGAGAAAGCTTGAAGAGCCAAAAAGCGAATAAGGGGAAAGATGAACGAGAAAGGGAGAGAAGAAAGGGAATAGGAAAAAGAAAGACAGATAAACGCGAAGCTGATAGCAAGGCAAGGGCATCGTGGGTCGTCGAAGTAGGGGAACAGAGCGAAGGATAGAATCGAGGCGAAGGGAAACAGACATTTGGGGTAGAGATGGTTGGAGCTCCCTGGACGGGAACGATAAAAAGAAAGATGGCGGATCACGCGACACTTTTTTGCTCTATGTCAATATGCGGAGTAACCAACATGCGATCCCTGGATCGGTGAAGTGACATGTTTCAGATATCGATGATATTGATATCGCTATCGATTCACAGTGACATGCCGTGTAAATTTTCGCTTACAGGTAATATAATCACTGATGGTCGGTCGGAGATGATATAGATGATTTCCCGGAGAAGAGAAAGGATCCATTCTACGAGTCGCGTTGCTTCTCGGAAGAACGGAAGCGGGTATAAAGGGTAGGAGGGTTGAAAGAGAAAGGGGATAGATGACGATAACTGCGTGAAGAGAGAGAGAGAGACAGAGAAACAGAGACGTGGATGGAAAGAGAGACGAGATATAGAGGCGCGCGCGCAAGAGATCCACCCGAGATTACAACTGGCACGAATACGTGGATGGAAGAGAGATAGATAGAAACCGAAAGAGATGGAGAAGGATCGGTTAGAAAGCAACGGTAATAGGGAGGGAAAGAGAAGAGGAGAGAGTTAAATAGGGAGCGAGCGATGGCGAGCAGGGAAGGGTGATTAAAAGAGGAAAATCGCGTGAAACGAAAGCACGAGCAAGATGGGGAAAGTATCGGCTGGAAAGAGGGGCAGGGAGTAGGAATAGGGAGAGAGAGGGGATCAACGGAGGGAGAAATTTCGGCGCGTGTGTGTGCGTGTGCGCGTGCGAGTTGGAAAGACAGGCCGTGAGACTAAAGGTGCACCGAAGTTTCCGTCGTCTCTCGAAGAGGGACTCTCGGCACGTTCGTTATACGATCCGCGCGTAGTTGCTGGTGCGCGGCTACGGGGTCGGTGTTTCCGTGTCACGCGCACGACCCCAAAAAAGTGTGTATGTGCGTGCGTGGCTGCGTGGTTTAACTGCCGTCCGCGTTGCAGGCTTGCTTTTAGTTCGCGCGACCACGAACGCGGAATTTTGCCCGTGGAATATTTTTGAAAGGAAAGAACGAACGAAAGAAAGGAAAGAAGAAAGAAAAAACGATAGAAGAGACGATAGAAAGGAGACGAGGAAAAGAAAGAAATCGAAACATTTTCACGAAACGGAATCATTATCGGTCGCGCCACCATCGCGACCATCGATAAAGATTGGTGGTCCAAAACCGCGAAAAGTGGATTCGTCGATCGTACCGAAACGTTCCAAACGTTGCTCCTTTTCGTTAATTTTCACGCCAATACACGCCATTCCAAACTTTTCCTGACTCTCGGAACTAGAAGCAGTGCGACAGAAACAAAGAACAAGGATATAAGAGAGAGGGAGGGAGAGAAAAGAAGAAAAAGAAGAGAAAGAAAAAACGTTCATGGGTCGCGCGCTGGTCCACGCAAAACTTTCTTTAGACCCGCATGATAGAAACTGAGCGAAATTAAGCAAACGGAATTGCATGTACCTATATCTCGTCTGTAATTGTAATTGAAACATGCTGGGTATTAAAAGCACGCGCGTGCGATTCTTCTTTCACGACAATTCGACCGAGTGAGTCGACGCGTCACGACGCGATTTCGAAGGTGCGCCACGGTCGAGACGATACGGTGCCACGAGGAGGACCGACCATCCAGCTCATTCAAATTTTCTCTGGGAACAACTTATCTCTCGAAATCCTGGCTAAAATTCGATACTCGTACAGTGGATAGATCCGTTCCGGATATCCGAGTGAACCGATCGGACGCGTGATCCGTCCGTTTTGTGCCTCGTCTAGTGTTTCGCGTATCGAAACGGCACGAGTGGAATCGTCGAGTTTGTAGAAAAAAAAAAAAAAAAAAAAAAAAAAAAAAAAAAAAAAAAAAAAAAGGTGAGCAGTTTAACCACGCATATATAGCGAAAATCAAACGCGAAAAGCGATCAAACGGAAGAAATTTTTTCGTATCGAGAAAGCGGAAGAATAAGAAGAACGGAGGGGAGAGGAATAAAGAAATTGGCGAATATCCCGTAGAAGAAGGAAATATTCGACGGTCTTATCATCGTCTATCGTTCGGAATTTTCATCGTCACGGTGTAGAGGGCCGTGCGCGCGCTCCCCCGCGCGCGCGCGCGCGAGCTCTCACGCGCGGATCCTGGTGCGCGCTACCATTTGTCGAGGATAGCCCCATAACCTCACTTTGCTTCATAGAAACGAATTTTTGTATGCTGTGTACGAAAAAGAAGCGAGAAGAAGAAGAAGAGGAAGAGGAGGAGGCGGAGGAAGAGGAGGAAGAGGAGGAGGAGGAGGAGGAGGAGGAGGAGGAGGAAAAAGAAGAAAAAGAAAAAGAAGAAGAGGAAGAAGAACACGTTGGATATATCGAGAGACAATAACAAAGGATAAAGAAAAGAATAAGAATTCATTTTGGAGTTATTGTCGGGTAAGAAGTGAGGCAAATCTTGGCTGTGACTTGTGGGGAACGAGTGAAAGAGACAGACGGACAGATAGATAGATAGATAGATAGATACATAGATAGATAGATAGATAGATAGGTAGATACATAGATAGATAGATAGATAGATGGACAGATAAAGAGAGAAAGAGAAGGGGAGAGAGAGAGAGCGAGAGAGGGAGCGAGAGAGAGAGAGAGAGAGTGAGAGAAAGAGAGAAGGAGAGAAAAGCGCAACGGGGTCAAGGAGGAAAGGTTAGGTAAGAGTACTCGCGGAAGGTGGGTACTCGGGCAGGCTGGTGGCGAACCTGGTTGGGGTGTGTCCCCAATGAAGTCGACGCAATGGCAACGAGCAAACGAAGCGACGTCGGTACCGCGTAGGCTGTCAACGTGGTGGCTGTTCAAATAGTCATTAGCGCGGTGGGACGCGTTGCCGTGTAATCGGCAAGCGTGATCATCCGCGCGAGAAGCGGAGCGGGGGGGTAAGAGGAAAAGGGAGAATAGCCGGGTGTTTAGGATGCAGCATGAACCTCGGTGCCCCGTATCGGGAGCTGGTGAGCCTCGGAAGGGGGACTACGACGGTGTCGAGGTGGTTTCGCCGGTCGAGAGATCGCAGCTCTCCGTCGTCCTCGAAACGGGCAGTATCGCCGGCGTCGTCGTCGCCACTGCCGTCGCCACTGCCGTCGCTACTGCCGTGGTCGTCGCCGTCGCCGTGGTCGTCGCCGGGGCAACAACAACCACAACCGCAACTTCGGTCACGACGACAACAACGACAACAACAACAACCGTTGTCGTCGTGTTTACGATCATCACCGTCTCACTGGTCAATCTGGTCGAGAGCTGCTGTTACCGGCGTGGTTGCAGTGCCGCAACGGCATCGGGACCGGTGGTTGCCATCTGGCAGAGGAAGCGGGTCGCGATCAGGAACGGGGAAAGCGAGCGGGAACGGGATCGAAATCGGGAACGGGGCAAGTTGTCGAGGGGGAGAAGCGAGATCGAGGCAGAGAGCGAGAGGGAGAGGGAGAGGGAGAGGGAGAGGGAGAGCGAGGCCGAGGCCGAGGAGAGGAGCGAGATCGCGCGACACGAGGAGTTGGTGGTGGTGCAGGTGGCGCGGCAGAAAGAAGAGGCGAAAGCGGTGGATCATCGGGTGCAGCGGCGGCGGCGGCGGCGGCGGCGGAGGCGGCGGTGGCACGAGAATCCCGAGTGCGTGGAACGCGTGGTCACGCCATTGTTATTGCCGCTACTCTCGTTGCCGCGCGAGTCCTCGTTCAGTGTTTCTACCATACCGTTGGCGCGGTTCGAGTTGGCCGTTTGGTTCGCGGATCACCGTCGAGATCATCGAGATCCCCGGGATCGTGGAGAAGGCCGCCTCCTCCAGGGGGACTTCTAAGGGCCCCGCCGACCCGGGCCGCTCGGACAGCTGTCATCTGGCTATCGGCTCCGGGATATCTACGTGCGGGGCTGACACCAACCACGAGTCGTCTCGAAAACAACATTGTCTCGATAATCCGCGAGAGTACCTACAACTCGCCGAACCTATCCTTCTTTCCAGCCAAGTTCGATCGTACGTGTATCGGTTGCACGATAAACACCGGGACTACGACAGAGGACTCGCATCGCTTCGATCGCGAATTTTCGAACCAACGACAACAAGGCCCGAATCGCCAACGTATCGTGGTAATCGTACCGAGAGAGGCATCCTGTTTCGCATTTTCGATATTCACCACCACCTTACCACGGAGAGGAAAGAGAGCGAAGGAGTCATCGGTGTCACCTGTGGTGACCCGTTCAACGTCGCGGGAACGGAAGAAACGTGGACGAGGACGTGGAGAGGAAAGGATAACAGAGTGGTGGGGCGTACGCGCGAAGCTAAGAAAAGCCTCGATCCTTGGTTGCAGCGATGCGGGGCCTTTTGCAGCGCAGAGACGAGGACGGATACGCGCGCGATCGCAACAGGGATCATCCGGACGACAAATTCGATATCACGAGTTTGGATCATCGGCGTCGTTGTCAACAGCGGAAAGGCAACAAAGGTGGGGGAAAGACGACGGGGAAAGGGATCGGTTCGCGTGGCGACTTTGCGGCGTGGACCGTCGACGGGGACGATCGACGCCGTCGTCGTCGTCGTCGGGGCAAACCGGGGACGCTAGCGTTCCCGAGGCTGCGTCCATGCGGCTCGATCCGGCCCAATTCACGGGACCATCTACGTCGTACCATTGGAACAACGCTGCTATCCACCGTTCGTCCCCGAGATTGTTGCCTTTCCATCGTCTCCTACGCCAGGACTATACCACACCGGGAATATCTTTCTTTCGTTTCCGAGCCTCGTCGGCCCCGAGGTTCGCCCGTGGTTCCGAGATTCTCCAGCGGGAACGAGATCCCGCCGATGTTATCGCGAACGGTAGCGCCTATCACCGTCGATTTTCCTCGTCGGTTCATCGTTGCTCGGTCGAGCACGGGGACGGATCCGAAACCAGAAACGCCACTGCCTTTCGTGTCTCTTACGACTCGGTTTACCGCAGCGGAGTGCGCGCGCGCATTCGAACGAATATTTTGCAGAAAAAAAGCGGTGAATGTCGTGTACAGCGAGGGAACGATCGATTCAACGTCGAAAACGAGGAAAAGGAAGGTGACGATGGTGGCGGCGGTAACGACGACGACGACGACGACGGCGACGAAGACGAAGACGAGAATGGGAGAAGCATCGAGTATTACACCGACGATCTTATTTTATCGACGTCCCAAGAATCGAGGTCACGATCTTGTTACAACGGGAGCAGGAAACCGAGAACGAGGTGGAAGAACGATGATCGGGATCGCGCGAATCCGTTCGAGGAATCCGTCAATTTCTCTCGAATCTGTATCGCGAATGTCACGAACGTTCCTTCAGTCGATGCATTTTCTTACACTGCCTACAATGACGAGAACGATATCGAGAGCTGTCGCGATGACAAGGACGAGTCGCGTGCCGCGTCATCCTCCGAGGCCGGGGACGTTCGTTTCGGGGAGGATGAGCGCAGAGACGAAGAAAATGAAGAAGAAGAAGAAGAAGAAGAAGAAGAAGAAGAGGAGGAGACCAAGTTTCGCCGGATCACGCGGAACCGACGAAGTACGTACGAGGCGAGCCAAGTGGTGGAGAGTATTTGTGGGGAGGAGGGAGGAGAACGTTATCGAAAATTTCGAGATCGCGGTGAGCTGAATTGCTGGGGAGGGAGAGGTAGTCGTACGCGCGTTAAGGTGCGCGCCGCGAGTGTAAACGGCGGGAAACGCGAGAGCCACTACACTGCCCGGTTCCAACGGAACCCGATCACCAACGGAAGTGGCGAGAACGTGACGAAACTCTCGACGAACGGACCAACGACAACAAAGGTATCGAGCAACAACAACAACAACAACAACAACAACAATAATTGGTGCGGCCGAAAGTACGGATTGCTGTTCATCTTGTATCTATTGGCTTGCCCGGTGGTGTGTTCCACGAATCCCTCCGGACAGTTTATCCCCGATTTCACCCATAATCCATCCCTCGTACAAAACCTTCCCCGGCACAACGCCACCCAAATTTCGTCCCTGTTGTTATCCTCGAGTGTCGCCGCGCACCAACGTCAACAACAGCACCAGCAACAACAGCAGCAACAACAACAACACCAGCAATACCTGCAACAGAAGCAACATTATCGGCAGATGGACGAAGGGAAGATGGAGCAGGGAACGCGTGAACAGTTGGTTCGTGACGTCGAGCAGTACGGTGGTAAGGACGGTGGTAACGGGCATCATCGTCGCCGACACGAGGAACAACAGCAGGGGCAGCAACAGCAGGACGATCAGGCTCGCGAGCAACGGGAGGTGGAGGGATCGGCGTACAGGGATCGCGAGGCTTCCCTTTTCGAAACCGAATCGACGCATCCTTACAACGAATACAGCTGGAAGGTGAACCAAATAAATCCTTGGTTGTCGGCCTGCGACCTGGCCGGCCCAGCGCCGGCCGATCTTCAGGCTAGCTGCGATCCACCGGAGGTGCCGAAGAATTGCCCGCTCCCCTGCGTGGCGAGCACGCAGGGGGGGAAAGGGGGCGATGCCGAGTTCCTCGAGGTGATGAAGAAGGTGAAGGTCAGCGGGAATTGTTATTGGTCGAACGGTGAGAAGAAGGCGGTTGAGTCGGCACGGTTCGGTTCGAGTTCGATAAAGTCTTTTGGGGCGGAGGGAAGCGGCGAGGGCGCGAGTGAGAGGAAGGGAAGAGGCGATGGTGGAGAAAATGGCGAGGGCGTGCGAATGGTTCCGGAACAGTGCCTTTTTTATCTCGAGGAGTCGCATAAGAGGAACATCTGTCGGGATGATTTTGGCCGGGCCAGTACTTTAACCCCAAGGGAGAATCGATATTGGTTCATGAGCGGGCTGCGTCTGCGGCACTGCTGCGATCACGCGGTGGTCAACGCCCTGGCACCTGGCAAGGGTGGTCCGCTCGAGAATGTGCTAAACGGTGGCCAGAAGTGCGCCGATGCCCTGGACAAGCTGTTGCACGTCGATACGTTAGCCGCAAAATTGCATTGTGGGTTCGAGGAAGTGGTCGCGCGATACGACTGTGCACAGCCCTATTCCGTCATCTTCAACTGCACCCACTGCAAGGTAAGAGATGCTGCACTCTCTTCTCTTTCTTTTCGTTTTCTTTTCCATTCTCTCCATATGTATGTGTATATATATATATTTTTTTTCTTTTTTTTCATAGTTCAACTATTCCTTGGCTGACCTAGGTAAATCGGTTGCAAACATCTTGCCAAGTAATATCGGTTCTCGATATATATTAATAAACGAGAAGCTATCGTAAAAAAAAAAAAGAAAGGATCATTTCTCCTTCGAGTGTTTTCACGAAACGTAGGGAAGAAAGTGGAAACGGTTTGCCAGACGAGGCGGAATGTAGTTGGCAAGAGACTTGCATTACCATCGCGTGCATTACCTTGGCGAACGACCTCTTTCACAATCAACGCTAATAAGCGTTTGGTATGGAATGTCCCGCAATTAGGAACGGATTCAATTTCTCTTAGCTTTCCTTTTTTTCCCTTCGTATTTTCGTTCCTTTTTTTTTCTCAACGAATCCTTGCCAAGTCGTCTTTGTTTCGAGATATTCTCCTGTACATTCGTTGCACGTACAACCAATCCATTATTTCGTCTCTTCGGTCCGTTCGTTTCTTTGCGCTCGATAGCCAAAGCCCGAACGAAAGCATTGCCAAAACTGTAGATTTGATTACTCGTTAACGATATTTTGATATACTTGCACATCTCTTGGAGTATTCTTTGGGGAGCGTTTAATTCGAAACGTGGCTCGAAAAATTTTTCCTGGCTGATCGCGTCGTTTCGCGTCGAGAGTTTTCGAGCCGACAGAAATTTACGGAAGAAGAGGCGCTCGAGCAACGTGGATGCCAACTCGAGCGCGATATCGATTTAAACGATTAGCACAGCCATTCGTTCGCCCCATTTGCGGCTCCAGAGTTAATGTCTGAATTCAGACACTGTGTATTATCCTTTACATACATATGTATGAGCCGATGATTCGTTTTCTTCCTTCGTTATTTCAATTTCCATATTTGCCCGATGCAACCTGTTTCGATGTATATTCCATCTCTTTTCCCTTCCCTCCAGAGAGATTGTTCGATCCGCATAATATAAACGCGTGACGTTGCCTCTCTTTGCCACGGATTATGGTCGAAAATTTCTTACTCCACGTTTTTATTCTATTCTATGCTATGTATGCATTTGGAACATTGTGCTACGTTATTTTTCATTTCGATAAAACGGATAAAATGTTTGGAGAGAGAAAAAAAAAAAGAAAAGACAAAAGGAAGGGAATTAATTAATTCGTTCGTTCGATGAGAGTTGAAAGATCGTTGACCTACAAATTAGAGGAAGGAAAATGTGCGAATGTGTTGGACAATGATAAGATATCGGTTGTACGATACACGAGTCAGTCTCTTCTTAATTTCGTCCTTTTGTTGTAATTCTTTTTATAACTTATTTGAAATTTTCGTTGAACGAAAATGGAACTTCGTATCGTTGATTGAATCTGTCTTGGTGCTCGGTCGAAGGTTGAAAAGGCCGATAGGCCAAAATGATCTAATTATAAATCAACGTAAGGATAAGGTATCGAGGATCTTAACGTATCTCGCATTCCAATTAATTGGATCGTTTCTCAGACAGCTAATTACAGAACACGTTCTCATGAGATCGATCTCCTTCGTTGTCTGAACATACTTTAGGGAATAACATAGATTTGCACGTGAATTTCATTTATCGTGTAAACCTTCTCTCGAGAATCTTTGGAGACCGTTTATATCTATTGTAGAACACGATCCTCGTATTCGATATTCGATATCGATCGAGCAATTTCCAAAGAGTGCGCCAACCTCTTATTCGATTACATCCCTCCTTATCGATTTCAACTTTTTCCAACGAGTTTGTGCAATTATTTTTTAACCTAATTTCACACTCTTCTCCCTTTTTATCGTATAGGAAATCAATTTTCAGATATTCCAGTGCGTTGAACATTGCGTCACACGTTATCAGTCACGTGTCGTGCTTTTATCCTTTATATACTTTAATACTTTTTTTTTTTTCTTCTTATTGAAATTTACTTACACGATTTACACGAAGAATGGCATGGAACCTTGCTCGAGAATTTCACTGCTTCAATTTCTTTTTTTTTTTTTTTTTTTTTCCACTCCTCCTCTATCCACTGCATTAAGATAAATGAAATGAATAAAAATGGACGATTAAAAATAATCATCGGCGACTCTTAAAGAAATCGCGAAGAAATCCACCATCCGGATTTAACGGGATTTAAATTCGAGGATTGAAAGGTCGCAAGTGCAGGTGCACGGAATAGTACGACCGGCGCAGTTGAAGCTGCAGCTGGAGTTGCAGGCAGTCAGGTCATTGCTACTCTCTCCTCTGAATCCAGCGCCGGCGCTTACGCGTATGTTGCTTTGCTGAACTTCGTATGTATATATATACGTATGATAGAGATAGTAGGCAAAGTATACACACGGATTGTCAGAGGCAGAGGGAAATCCTAACCTTGTTAATGGCCCGTTGTCCCTTCTCGAAACCGCTGTCCGAATGACGGTTTGTTTGATAACGATTACCTTTGGAAATTGAACGTAACGCGTCAAACTTACGATCGTTTCGGTTTCCAAGGTTTATGAACGAAAGTATCAGAGATGTATCCGTGCTTGTTCGGTTAACACAATCACTTGTAGACCATTGTTGATGTAACGTAAATGTTAAAGAGATAAAGATTGTTAATAATCGTTTCGCGTTTGATTTCGTAGAAAGATTTCGTTAAAAAAAAAAAAAGAATACGACACGAAATGCGCGTCGCATCACTTCAATCTAATCGTTTATTATTTGCTATGTATATATGTACACATATGTATATACACGCGCGTATGAACACGTTGACGCGCACGAAGTGGTTTAATGATTAAACGTCAAGTATAGTCAACCGTCGCTGTGAAACTGGTTGCTTATGGCAGCTAGTTTGCTTATGACTTGTTTGCGAATTAACTCTTACGAATAACTATAAATTTTGGTAAAAAAAAAAAAAAGAAAAAAGATTATAGCCAGACACGTGAAAAATATCAATCTAATTCCTACTACTTTTAAAGTAATCCTCCATCCACGGAGTATGATTTTATTTCAAATAACGGGACGATTGGAAATGTATCTATTGAAATCAAGAAAGGCGACGTTGACGGTTGCCGAGTTAAAAATGAGAAAGCGGGAAGGTGGGAAGAAAAAACTTGGGCGGGAAATGAAAAAACGTTTTGCGAGGAGTAGGGAGTAGGAGGGGAAAAAGAGTAAGAGAGAGAGAGAGAGATGCAGAAGAAAGCGAATAATTTAGTCGAACGTTCCTTGGGGGAAACTTGAAGCTGCAAAAAATGTTAGGAAATGTGGAGAGGATATACGATACACAATATTAAGATTAAGTTTCTTTCCACCTTTTTTTACCAAACGAACTTTTCTTCGACAACTTAGAATATTTTCTTTCCCTTCGTTATCCGTTCGAAATGTTCGTGCACTCTTTAAAATTGTCAAATAATAAACGAATAGAATATTCGACACGAATTCAATGGCAAGAATAACGACGATTTTCGGTCGAGATCGTTTTGTACGATAGTATAAAAAGCTGTTTATGGTTGGTTACATTTTTGGAGAATGATTATTACCGATGAATAATATACGCAGTTGCAAGCTGTCCGATGCAGTATACGGCCACTCCTATTCCTCGTTCGTTTCGTATGTATATATCTCTCTGCATATGCACATGGATAGGCGGGTATATAGATGTATGGGTTGCGTGTCCTGTGCAAGTTATGCATACATGTTATTCAACGACACGGCGTTGGTGTCTCGGTTCTCGTCTAGAATTCGATGTAGGTGGACACTTGGGGTAATTGGTAACAAACTATGCGGATGAATGTGACTCTACCAGCATATTCCTTATTATCCCGATGAGCTAGGTGTTTCCTTCGAGTATCTCGTTTCCGATACGCGTTCTATATATCCTCCTTTGTCCGGAATTTCCCCTCATTTGTGCGCATCGATGTTTCTCGTCAAGTATGCTCATTGAACAATTAAACGGAATTCTTCGAAGTTGTTGCCTCGTATCATTGAGTAACGAAATTTCCTGAAATAAAGTTGTTTATTTTTTTTTTTTTTTAAGAAATTTATTTATAACAATTGTCGATTAAAAATAACACGTTTCAAAAAACAAAAATACTCTCTTTGGATTCTTTGGAAGGCACGATTATATGACATGACATCGTAGATTATAAATCATCGTAAAGTCCTAAAAGAAAAAAATAAAAGCTATTATTATTTTTATAATTATTATAATATATATCTATTATGATAATTTTTGTAAAATATAAATACAAAATAATGCAATACGTGACGTTTCCCGCTGAAACTTTAATCTTTTATACAGTGATGCATCGGGTGTCGATTGCAGTCGCTATACATTATGAGAAAACAATGGCTTCGTTGCTCTGTCGTTTCAACTTTCATACTGAATGTATCGATTGTAAATGCGTCATAAAAGCTTCGCGACCTGCAATTAGCGTAATCACGTTTACTATCATGGATCGAAAATTTTTTATCTTTTCAGCGTATTGGCAGTATCATAATTGTGCACATATGTCACGTGCTGTGAAAATAAGATCTATCAGATCTGATGAATTTTATTAAAATTTATTAAAATTAGAAATTCAAGTTATGCACAGTTTAAAATATCAAGAAATTTTATGCATGTTTTAACTGTAACATAACCAAAAATTTGCATTTCTCGAGTTACTCAAAATATTTCTTTTCTAAATCTTAAACATTCAATCTTACAGGAATTGAAACTATTTTCTTTAAAATTATAATTCGTTAGTTTTGTTATTTTTGAAGAAAATGTGTGTAATAAATGCGCAAAATTTTTCGTTGCAATAACAAGTCGACGAGACTGGTTGTCCCCGATAAATCTTTAAGCGGTTAAATCGAGTTTTCACGGTGGTGAAGTGTAACTAACGTGTCAACCCGAGTCTCTCGATCGATCGTTTTAATGAAGGCGAATTAATTAACAAAATTGACGTCAAGACGTCAAAGTGGGATCGTCGCTGTGCGAGTTGGGGCGAGTCACCGCGAGTCGATACATTGTTCTTCGATATCTCTAAATAAAAATCCGTAATAATTTCGGCCAATCGGAAGACGGAACGAGGTTAGGTTAGGTTAAGTTAGGTTATATTAGATTAAGTGAAAAGTTAATGTATCAGTTTCAAATCAAGTTTTCGTATTATTCAAATACACAGGACAGACTCTTCTCTTCTCGTATCCGATTTCATATTTCCGATCTCTTAAAGTTATTATTCATGATTGTTGTATGTTCTTAGTGATATTCAGTGACAATTCAAATAATCAGACATCGGTAAAATTTCCTTTCCTATAAACAGATTCTATTGTAATATTGTAATAATTTAAAAAAAAAATGGTATCACTTTTTGTTGTATAAAGTTAATAATCGAAACCGTATGTTGCGTCGAAAAAATAAAAGAATAAAATGTGCGTTCCTGAGCGTCTCTCGGCCCTTGGCTTGGGGCAAATTCGAATCGAAAAGAGTCGAGGGAAAGAGGAAAGTAGTAGAGAAAAAGAGGAATCGGAGGGGTTGCCCTGAGGGTTGGGATGGACGAAGGATGGTCGCGGAGAGGGGATCGCGGCAGGAGAAAGGGGCGGGAGGATGCAAGGTGCAATCAATAGCGAGATTGCCCTCGCTCGGTAGCTACTCAACGCCAATAGAGGGACGTTATAGACACGGGCGTAGAGCTGTTACGATTGCAGATTCACTGCTCTGTATTTGGGTTCTACGTAATTTAAACGTGCCATCGCGTGTCTAAGATATCCCTGTTAAAACTTTTCGTTTAGAGAATCATTATCGCTATATGGTTATGATTGTGATCATTCCAAGTTAGATATTTGGCTAGGATTTAATACGATCGATCGTTACTTTAATCATATCTCAGTCATTTCTCATCATCTTTACAATCTTTAAAAAAAAGTATTTTATCATTATCATTGCAAAATTGCATCTCTTATCCTTTGTTCATTTTCTCTAATCGTATAGAGTTTATATAAAAATAACATCAAAATAGTTTTCATTCGAGAAAAAATTCGCGTGCGAGATCTAGCTGAGCTGCCATTTCGTAACTGTTTCAAGTACCTATTATTCTACTCTCTACTTTAACGTTACGAGTGCTCGAGAATTGTGCTGTACAGTTTCTTTCCGTGTCAAGATTTCGTGGAAACTTAAGCGAAACATCCTTTCAATCGCACAAAATCTTTTAAATTTCTTATCCTTTCCATTCGATCTTTTTATCTTATTTTCTATCCCGATTTCCATTTCTTTATCTTCTTGCTTTTCTTCCGAAGCATAGAAAAATCTCGCAACGTTTGTAGGAGAAATTTCAAGCAAACTTAAAAGAGAATAATGTTTACACCAAAAGAAACAATAAAAAATCAATCTCTAAGAAAGGGAAAAACAGATTTCTACACAATAGTCTATCTTTCTTATTATTCGATGATATTACGACAAGTGCAAGAAGGTAAAAATCGTGCATTGGGAAAATCCTCGAAGAAAACAACCATCCTGACCTACATAGCATACCCTCAGATAAAATTGGAAGGTAGTATCATAGTATTCAATTTACTTTTACGAATCTTTTTTTCTCACATACTTACCGCAATTTTTCCACATTATGTTCCTTCACGCGATATTTCAAAGAGTATTCGCTTCTACTTTCACACTTTCAGATACAAGTATCCTTTTTCCATACCATGTCTAAATAAGAGGATTAAAGCCTTGATACCTCTATTACGAAAAAATCAACTTTCTTCCATACTTTTCTCTTCTTCATTTTTCTTTTTCACTATTCAGTTTCTGTCAATATTCCAAATATTCTTTCGTTTCGGCAAAAAAAAAAAAAAATATATCGAAAATTAAATCGAAAATTGTCGAAAATGCATGCTATCTGATCTATCTTCGATATTATGAACTACTGCATGAACTGTTTATAGAATATATATATAGAACCTATTTATAGAATTTTCTTCCATTTTCTCTTCCTCCAATATTATACATGTTCGACTCTCTCGCGAATTTCCTTCTCCTGTTTGGATATTGACCATTGTTTTGTAAATCGAATGATGAAATTCAGTTGTAGTATAGGTAAATAGTTTGCGAATATACTTTCGACGAAATATTCTTGTAATATCGATCGTAATGGCGGTGCCACGTGTCTAGAAGTTACCAAATCGATTCCAGGTCCTGTTGTAAAATATCGACTGATACGAACTATATACAGTACGTTTAGATGCATTCTGTCCTTATTTTATTTCGACGAGTGTTCTTCGAGGACATTTAAGGTCATAAAAAAAAACTTATCGATAAAACTTTCTATTTTTCTTCAAGAAAATTTCACTTTCCTTCGATACCTTGAACATTCCAATCATTTGTAGTATTCATTTTCTTCAAAGTTGTATTTTTTTCGTTTCGTTCTAGTATCCGATTTCGATAATCATTTTATATAGTTATCTTAGTAATTGACTCGAATTTCGTTAAGCCTTAAAGATGTAATTGATAATGACCGATCAACATGTATACACACACGTGCCTGAGCATAACTATAATACTTCACTTAATCTAAATAGATACTTAGATACCTGACTGGGAAAACATTACATTATAGTATATGATGAGGTGATGAAATATGTAGTAAGAACTCTTCATCTTTATTTCAATATTCATACTTGTTTCTAACACGTTTAAGTAAATTGTTTGAATAATTTATGTCTGTCTTCAAAATAAAGTTTTTTCCCTCTCTTTTTTAATTTTTAATCATTTTCAAAAATATCTCAACAAGATATTTAATTGAAAAATTTCTTAGTTATTCGAATTCTCCATGTTCTAAAAAAACATAGTGATTTTTGAATCTGAATATAGTCTGAATATTTATAGTCTTCTAACCTGCGAAATTGAAATTTTTTATTAGAAAAAATTTTACTAGAAAAATTTTTTATAAGAAAAAATCGATAAATAATGTTATAAATGAGAACATTCTGAAAACAGTTTGAAAATAAATTTACACGATTGAATTCCATCTGTTTTCCTTTCAAGAAATGATATTTTTTCCTCTTCTTTCTTTCAGTTATACCCATAAAATTCTGTTTCTCTTCTTTTTGAATGAGAAAGTTTTTTAAAACTAAAGATAGAAAAGTTCGAAGGAAGAAAGCTTCTTTTTTGGTTGGATAAAATTTTTGAAAAGGATGTGCAGAAACAAAAGTGGAAAGAGAACGAAAGAGTTACATATATGGAAGTTGAAGGACCAAAAGAAGAACGAAAGTATAGAGAATCGGATAACAGAGAAGTAAAAAGTAGGGGGAAAACGATAAGAGAAGAAAACTGGAGGAGAGTTCTAGTTCCATGTGGATGGGATACGGATCAATATCGCAGAGGTTGAAGCATCTTTTGGTTAAGATTCCTTCAGTTTAGGACGAAGGAACTGATTCGACAAAGAAGAAGTATGAAATAAAATTCTTTTTATTCTCGTGTCCTCATTATCTGCAGTCTATTTCTTCTCTATCTCTCTGTTCATTCTATATATAATGAATGATCTATATTCAGAGGGAATATACGTTATACATATCTGTATCTAATTATATTTAAATTTTATGTAGATACATGTGTTAAACAATAAACGAATAAAATATTTTTTGAAATTTCAATAGACATAGAATGGGGGATAGAATCCGTAAACAATCGGTTCTCGTCTCCGTGTGACCCAGCGGTAAAAGACTTTTCTCGATCGATACGGTGAAGCAACGTAGAAAAGAGGAAAAGTTTTAATACGTTATACGAATTATCCTCTTTTACCTTTATGTATCCAAATATACTTTGCCCTTATTTCCGTTTATTTATCGATCAAATTTCTATTCATAGTTTTCATCGTTAAAAAAGATTACTTCTATTAAAATTTTTCAGGAATTAGAAAACCGTTTTACATGATTTATTGCAATATTGGATTGAGTTTCGTGTCAAAAAGAAATGATAAATAAATGGTAGATTGTACACGGTGTTGAAGTTTGATCATTCAAGATATTGTATCGTTTTGTAACGATGTCTCCAAATTTACCACATACCCATTTACCAGATACACACAGGTTATCTTTGCACCGTGATAAGCATTTATCATCGCCATGAAAACAAAGAAGCTTTTCACATAGTCAAAGATGAAGTGACAAGATGAAATGGGTTGTGTTACGGAAATTAGGCTTTTCTATCGTAGTACGAATGTTTTAGTATCAAGAAAACAATATCGATGAAAGAAGCATCCTCTCGCATCGCGTTAATTAGAAGAAAAAGGAAAAATGATCATTATTTGATTCAAATATCTTTTACTAATAAAGCTTTGTTTAATCGAAGATAACGTTTTTTCCCGATTATGTTGAATGGCGATGATTAAAGTAGGACAAGGTCAGAATTGCACATTAAGAGTGTGAAAACAATATTTGATCATGTGAAACACGGTGAAGCGACAAAGGCGTGGCAAATTTTTTTTCTTTGCCTCGCCTTACCGAAAGAAAAAGCGTAATTTCTTCGAGACAACGTTGAAAGCGAGGAGGTTAGCAATAACATGGTTTTTCCGTGATACCATAGCAGAGGATGAGAGAAGAAACTGTGTTAGGTTATATAGGATCGATGATGCGAGGAGCGTCTGGGGAATACTAGACCGTACGGCTATTGTTACTCTCTGGTCTCTCCCTAAAAATTAGAAACTTTCCTCCTTCGACCAATGGGTAACCACTTGTGAAATTCATCTTGAAAATCGTTCCTTTTTCGGTTTTTTCTTATTTTTCTAAAAACAATCTTCTATTAATTACAAGCTAAATAGACTTACATAGCTGTGTGAAATTTTCAGAGCGAAAAGAAATAAATCGATTTTGTTACTACAGGATCCAGCTTGATTGATAACAGCTTATATATATCCAAGAACCTTTTCCAAGAGTGTTATCTTGTTCGGTTTAATATTGTCTCGATACCATAGATCTTCACCGGTAACGTCTTGTCGTTCTTTTCAGTTTCTTTTTCTTCTTCTACGTCCTACAAAATTAATTTTCAGTGTATCGTGTATCGCATGGTTCTCACCTCGAATCGATTTCCTGTCTGTTCATTGTCTGCTACGTGGATATTTTTTAAATTCAATAAAAAAGATGGAAGGAAATGACGAATGTCTGAGAATGGTACGGATATATTTAGTTTTATCTCAATTTCTGATTTAGCTCCCTGGCGATATTTCCAATATAGACACACTCGTTTGTTCGTAAATATTCGAAAAGCTCTATCTGGAAATACCTAAGGGAACACGGGTCCTTTCAAATCGAAGCCAGTTAAAGTTCGGTCAGTATTCAGGTACGAATGATTTCAAGAAAATAGGACGACCATGTTTAGAAACTTCATCCTTATTGCAAACATTCGCTAAACCCGCAGTAAGGCACAGAGATTATTCGTTTCGACGCAAACCTATAAAAGATAAAATTGTGAGATTATTAAAAGAAGGGAAATAACTTTTTTTTTATCAAGAATTTTTCGCGTTATTGATCGTGAAAAAAATTAGTAAATCGATTAATAATTAGAAATTATACAATGCACATACAATGTATATAAGTACGCGTATTCATCTGTACATTCGTTATTTCAATATACGTCCTTAAATTCTCTCACCGGGGTAAACCTAAGTCACGTGGCTACATCACGTTGCCACCGCATCCGTATTCATCCTTCTTTCGATTATTGATTCTCATTTCACGTTCTGGTCTTTTTAACGCAAATAGCTAAAACGTAACCAGCAACGCGACCTCTGAATCGATTTTGATAATATTGTTACTTTTTTTTGCCGCGAAAATATTAAATACATTTAATTTTTTTTAGTTTCTTTCTCTTCTTTTTTAAATTCTTCGTACTATTAATTTTATCACAGCGACACTTTGAGATACACAACGAAAAGATTATTCCTGTAGAAAATGTAATCAATTTATATATATATTATGATATATATTATGATATATTAAGATAAATACAAAAAAATAAATTTACTAAAATTAATTAATTAACCTAAAAACATTTTACGATCTACATTGGGAACTTACTTTATTAAACAAATTAGGAAATATATAAATGAAAATCGTTTCGTTCTATAGACAAATAATATTTCGCATTAATGCGAAAACACTTTATGCTTCTTATAAAATGCTTATTCTTATATATTGATACATTACATGAATTTTTAACGAATTCTCGTCACACGATTTCTTTTTGTTTGGCTAAATGCCTATTGTCTTTTTCAACGGAATTGCTGCTTGATTGTTACCAGTCCCAAGTGGGATTCGAACGATGCTCTCGGTGATTGCTAGCTCTCTTTCCCTTGGGTAGTTTTTACGAGACTACAACAGCATCGTTGCAGTCCTTTGAGATAAGAGAATATCATGATCTATTAACCTTTTCACGGACAATAAAAATCGTAATTTTTGCTCATATATCGAATAAAAAGATAAAATTAAGATAAGATAAATTAAAAAAAGTAGAATAGAATTATTCTTACCTTTGAATATTGAAAATCGAAAAAATTCGGAACTATTAATTTCGATCATTTTTAAAGGTTATGTTTAATATAAGCCATGAAATTGTTAGAATACATGTCTTCAATTTTCACATAAGTCGGATATCAAAGATTCTCCAGTCTCTTTGTCAATCGTTGAAATTCATTACGACTTGTATGTATACCATAATACAGAAGTTTAATAAGCGGACGCGTTTACGACCAATATATGTACGAGACTTACATCGTTTGGCATAAACGGGTTCACTTAACGACCGTGACACAAATATGTGCCGCCCTCTGTTTAATCCTATTATAATATATTCCTAATATATCAATTCTAATAATTCTAAAATCATATTGAACTGAATTGTTTCTAAAAAAAAAAAAAAAATTAAAAATATAATTAACTATTTTTCTTTTTTTTTTATTTTTATACTCTTTCGATTTACTATATATCACGATTTATATAATTCGAATCATAAGTTCTGTTTTGTAAAGAAAAATTAAACAAAAGCTCAACAAATTGTTCGTTAATTAGAACTTAACGGGATGAGAACGGTGAAAAAAGAAAAAACGTTGTGTTCACGAGGCATACTTTATCACTCTTTGTTCGGAGTTATTCGAGCCTTTGTGCGGCCAGAGAAGCGACACTTGCTACCGGCTGTCTTCCAAGCAATTGTCTCGGTAAGAAGTAGTGCCCCTGTCAAGATATAAGGGTGTAACTGCATGTTTTTTCCGTTTGTCGGAGGATTACTCGTAAAATTGCACCTACTTGAAAAAAGAAGTGCAAAGATCTTGAGAAACCACATTAGTGATAGTTAAACAATCAAATAATTTTTTTCGTTGTCAAAAATTAATTATAATTTTGTTCTTTTGATATTCGTTATTTCATGGCAAACTTTTTATGACTCGACGATGTGTTCCAATTAAAAAGTAAAAATTTTAATGTCACCCAATAGGATAAAATGAAATATGGTCTAAACAAGACGAATAACTTAATCGATATATCGATATATCGCTTTTGTTTCCTGAAACAACTTCAGTCAAATGCCATTGGCCGATTTAGTTCGTATATAATTTTAATTTTTGTGTGAAACAAAACGAAAACTTATTTTTGTATGTAATTAACAAAGGTTCGTTTAAAAAAAATACTGATCTGGAAAATTCGAACAATGTTTTCATTTTCTGAAGCAAAATTAATTGGTATTCGACGCGTAGCAATCGAGTAACCAAAAATATTGAAATTCGAATGTGTTCGAATGTGATACGAGTATCTATCCGTTAATGAAATCTATGCATACATATAACATATAAATTTATACTCGGTCAAATTTCGAATATGGTATATTGGAAAAAGTCGATCATGATCGAGAAAGAAAAAATCAATATTTGTCAACATTTTCTTGATTGTATCATAACCATACATTTCCTCCAAATACTCATCGAACACTTGACAATATGTTTCAAGATGAATGTACATTTTTATTATAATATAATATTGATGCTAATTAACCGTTTGTATCGTAAGTAAATATTTTAATTCTTAATATTTTGTTCTTATTTTTAATATAAATTTTTTTTTTTATTTAATAAACTTAACGTCACTTTAATCAATATGATACGAATTTTAAAAAAAAAATTTCTCCTCTAATTTAAAGAAAGGTATATAGTTTATCACATCAATGTTACAAATATCTCCATTTTTCGATTGATTCTGGAAAGAAAAAGTACTTGAACATTGTATTATACGAAACCGTTTATTCAAGACTATCGTAGTTAAGTGAAACAATACAGGAAAAAAGGCAAGAGAAAAAGTGTCATCTATTAGTAAAGTGAAACAATAGGCGGACTAATTAATAGGAAAGTCCTTAGAACCGTTGATTGGCGGTCCAATACGAGGATGCATTCTTAACGTAGAAAAAGGAATCATTGCAAAAAAAGGTATTAAGCAAATAGAAACTTCTATAATTGGGATTAACGGATTAAAAAGTTTACATTTAAAATTACAGTATCCACCCATTTAATGTATATTTACATAATTGGGATAATTTAAAAATGTAATTAATAATATACATGATGAAAAGATGACCAGGACGAAAATACGACGAGTGATCGCGGAAAATATGAAACGCGCGAAAGTAGGATTAGCAAGTGATAGAGGAGGCAACCGTCACGACGAGCTTGCAGAAAGTATAGGAGGACGTGGAAGCTGGTTCGAGGAGGGGTAGGATTTGGGGTAGCATTGCTAGTACGGTGGCACAGATATGGGCCAGGTAACCAGGTCACCGCGACTAAGGGCATTGCTTTTGCAACCGCCAACCACCACCGCCACCACCGTCACCCCATTTGAGCTGTTCTAACCTTCCCCACTCCTTCCTCTTTTCTCCTTTCCTTTTTCCTCGTTTCGCCCTCTCTCTTCCTTCCTTCTTCCATCCGCTACTCGATACACGACGAAACGACAAACGACACGGAACATTAAGAACAACGCAGTTCCACCTCTCTGGATCTCCAATAGGCATCTACCACTTTGTTCCTCGGTGTTCTGTCACTCGTTGCACCTCTCTTTTCAATTCCCGTGCTCTTATTTCTTTTCATTCTCTCTCGTATCTTTTCTCCCGGTCTTCCCGTTCCTCCGGAGAGAAAGACTCTTTCTTTAATTCCACCGAGTGATTCGAGAGATTCGGAAGAGTTTCAAACAGTTATATTATACAATGGTTTTTCAATAGAATTTATCGTAGCAATTGTTTTCTTTGAAAATTATATATTTAAATTGTAAAAAAAAAAATTGTTGCAGAGAGCTATCAAATCATTTTAATAATTTTTAATTAATTTTCATCCATGATAATTATTCCCTTTTATATTATTTTTTTGACAGTTTGTTACACGATGATCATCGAGTATTATTCTCAATGTATTAAATTTTCATTTTAGTTAATTTTCTCCTCGTTAATGAATTCTAATTTAAATCGAGCAAAATTCTCGAATGTAAATGGCTTAACACTCGTACTTTTAAAATCTTTTCCTCGTTAATATCCATCCGTTTTTTCTTTGCGTGGAATTATATAAACTATATCGTGCAAAAGTTTTGAATATCGGAAGAAAGATGATTCTCTTGTTCTTATTTGCGATTTTAAAACTGTCCATTCCCCTCCGTTTAATCTCTAAATTCAGCGTATCCTTCTTCTTTCTCTGGACTCTCTGTTGGAGGTAATTAATCTGGCGTACTCGCCAAGTATGGCACTCGTGGCCTGAGAAGCTCGTTCATGAGCCAAGTACGAGGTAAACGAGAAACACCAGAATCGAGGGTACGGTTTCCGGTTGCATGAGCGCCATTTGAAAATTTCCCACCGGGAAATTGGCACGTACCTACGCTAGGTCAACTTGAAGACTTCCTTTCCTGCTTGTGTCACGGTCGCCACGATCAAGATTTCATTCAAAAAAACGAGCAACCCCGACGTGTCTGAATTTCGAGAATCGGCCAGCGGCCGATTTTAAATCGATTTTAAATTGCCCGCTCAAATTGTTATTCGTCGAAATAACACTCGGACTCGTTTAAAAAAAAAAAAAAAAAAAAAAAAAAAAAGAAAGAAAAAAAGAAAGAAGAAGAAGAAGAAGAATCGTTCGCGCAAAGAGCATTACTAATTTCAAGCCTCCTCGTCTTTGATCTCGACGGCCTAACCGAGACAAAGGATTACTCCAACGTATTCCGAAAAGAGGGATAAATTAATGTCACGAATCCGGAGTGAACAATGACAGGCCGAATTACAGATCGCTCTGTATGCGACTCTGACGTCTGTGCACACGTTTGCAATACACAGACGGAAAAATACGCGAGAACACGCGTACACACGTTTAACTGTGTTCCCGTGTTATATCATCTATATCGACGGAAGGGAAAGTAGAACGAGAAGAAAAGGAATTTGGAGTCGATATACATTAGTCCCGGTGAAAAGAAATTAAATACGCGGTCCATCACCGGGATGAAATGTGCCTCGTCATCGCGAGTTTGTTGCGAACAAAACGAATCATTTCTTGTATCCGACTGTATCCGATTTCCGATTTCTTTTCTCCCCATTTTCCTCCCCCTCCCTTTCTCTCCCACGACAGAGCAACCCTCCTCTTCTCCACCTCGAATTCAATTTCTCCTTTTCATACGCGTATTTTCCAATCGAGCATTCTATTCGCATTCTTATTTTCGCGATTCGGGTTAACAATCCTCTTCCCCGCGATTTAACACGGACTAATTCGCGGACAAGGGCAAACGTTAGAGTTGGAAGGGAAGAGATGGACGGACCACCAAACGTTACGGATGTTAGTTCGAACGTGAAGCACGAGGGGGCAGGGAGAATGGGAAAATGGCGTATTGTTTGAAAGTTTTGCTTCGTTACAGGGATCTCTGTGAGGTGGGGGGAGGGAGAGGTGCTCGAGTGATCGGTCGAACGACGTGAGACAAGGGAGGGTCGTTGTGGGCGACGAGACGTTGCAGGTGGAGGGACGAGGGAGGGGGAGTAGTAGAAGAGGAGGGTGCCGCATCTGCCTCGAACCGCCGCGGCAGAGGTTGGAGGGAATTGGGTCAACCAACTTGGAGTGTACTTCAGGTGTAGCTACCTATCTGCCCATCTTCCGCCCCACACCCCATTCTACCATTCTCCCTTCTTACCAAAAAAAAAAAAAAAAAAAGAATCCATCTCCTTTTCGCTCCTCGTTAACTGTGCGACGAACCGCCATCGATTCGACGGGGGATCCATCTCGAATCGAAACCTCGTTCCGTGCCATATCTTCTTCCACTACTCGCCCCCACCTTTCGATTGGCGCGCGTGGCGAACTGTACGAACGATGATGTGTCCCAATTAGAAAGTACGAATTTCAATGTCGCGCGATGTCGGGCAACCAGATGGCGCGAAGCTTTAATTTCTCTCTTTTTTAAGATGGCGAGGAACAGTCTTGCAATTTTTTTTTTTTCTTCCTTTCTTTTTTCTCTCCTCGCACCTTTTTCAAGTTAGCGGTTTCTTAAAAATCTTACCGATGCAGATGACCCTGTATTAATAAAAGTTGGCACGAACTATCGAGAGTTTTTGCCGCGAGTCGAGATCGATTCGAGTGGAAAACAGCGTGTATTAATCGGGGACGAAATCGAAACGATAAATCACAATGGAAACAATATTTGAATTTTGGAACGCAACTCTAGATTGAAAAAAATAATATATATATATATATAACGATTTTGAAACGTTTATATTTTTTCTTTTTTTCTCTCGTTCAAAATTTTGTGGAGAAACGTGACTCCACAACGTGACAAGGATTAATCGTCGAGCGTGGTAAACGTCCTTTGGGGTTTGCGAATCCGTGAACTGTTTACTGGAAATGGGCCATTCCTAAACCAAGCAGCCAGTTGTGCAGTTTTGCCACGCGAATCGATTAAGCGGAACTTGGATAATCGGGCAATAGTCGCGTAACGTGATAATCTCCAATCTTCTCACGAGACGAGTCACGAAGAGCCGAGTTCTTAAACGAAATAATAAATAAATTTATTATTTCGCTTGGATTCTCGATTCTTGTTATCGAGCGTATTTGTGAGCATTTATGAATTTCGTTTCGCCAAGGGAGAAGACGGGCCAAGGATACGGGAGGAGGAGGAGGAGGGAGCGCGTAACTGTTTCACGTTCCCCTTTCTTTACGGCTTTGTACGTTGAAATACTTAATAAAGCGGCGAGGAGGAGAGAGGCGAAATAATGAATACGAATAGAGGGCGGCCGAGGATAAGTTGCCACTGTGAATAAAAGGGTTTTCCTGCAACCAGAGTGTAATTATAACACGCTCTTAGAGGATGCGCAGTAAGGGTAATATTTAAAGTACATGTAGGTCAGCCAGTGACCTGTCTTATTGCCTCTCGAATCGTTTCAAATATTACAACTCCGAAAACGAGTTGATCCGAAATACGAGGATTCCTTCTTTCTTTCTTTCGAATCTTTTCGATTCGATCTTTCGTCTTCTTCTATTATTCGATTAATGTTTTGTAATTAAAGATTAAAACGGTCGAAATAGAAATTGATTGATTCTTCCATGATTGCAGGAAGCGTATAGAAAATGGGTGTGCAGCTCCCTGGTGCCTTACTTTGCTCATGGGGAACCGCAGGACTTGAACAGCTCCAACAGCTGGGCCGGAAGCAGACTCAGGCCCTGCCGATCCTTTTGCCAATCCGTGGAGCAACGTTGCCCTTACTTACTCCCGGGCGACCGTGCCCCCTCCTACCCCACGCAATACGCCGGTGAACCCACTTTCCTTTGCAGAGGTAACTCTCTAAAATTATCTCAACTCTTACCAGATATATACACACACATTTTAATACACATAACTGATTATTAACAATTATTGTAATACAAACTAAAAAATATTAACATAATATTAAATTAAACCTTAGAAATTAATATTAACACAAGGGTAATAATATTTTTGGCACCCTTTTAATTCATCAACGAAGAAAGGAAGGAAGGAAGGAAGGAAGGAAGGAAGGAAGGGATGAAGGAAGGAAATGAAATCGAATGTATATCCGAGAGTGCGTGGATGGGATGAAACGATAATTTTTAAGGGATGATGATGATTTGGAAAAAAGAAAACGAAATGATTTCAGATCCAAATATACCCGAGACCGGAGAGCAGGCCGCAAGAGCGTTGCACAGCAACGAGGAAAACGAGTGTTGCTTCCATGCGTGTTCCGAGGAGTTGGCCGGATCGGGTATCTGCGCGAATTGCACGAATCAGGTACTAAGGAGGCGCGGGAAGAATTACGATCCTCCAACGGCTCCCTATTGCGAGGTTAATTGCACTCAACCGGCTTCCACGGGTACGTTCCCTCAGCTTTCTCTTTTTTCTCGATACAGTTATAATCCTTCCGAGTTTCTGCAAGAAAAAATAATATGGGATAACTCGACGCGTGTTATTCCAATCCCATTGAGGCGAGAGAATTGTAAACTCGATCGGTTAATATCTCTTGTTATCGTGATTTTTGTTTTATATATATATAAAAACTTTGTATTGCTTGTTTGGATCAGGTGGAGGATATCAAGACACGGGATCCACGGATAGCGGTGCGAAGGAAGAAGAGAGATGCCCGTCGATGAATCCTGTGTCTGTGACGAATACGGTGCGGCTGAAGGGGACGTTGGTGTGCGGAACTGGGGGTGGCGTCGACTCGATCGCAAGCGTTTCCTCTTCCAATCGATCGGCGGCCTCGATCCTCCCGCAACTCTTTTGGCTATGCTCGATCTTGACCAGTATCCTTGGCAACGTTCGAACGATTCCCGTCCTCTGGATCTCGAAGATCTTTCTTTGGTCGATCATGCCCCTCGCTGGTATTCGTGGTGACGATTGTGACGGTGGTGATGATAGTGGTGGTGGTGGTGGTGGTGGTGGTGATGGTGATCGTGGACTCGATGGTGGATCGAACAAGAATAGGAGCGAACTGGTAAACTTACTCGCCTGGCTGCGCCGTTGTTTTCGCAGAGTGGACTACTACTACTACGCGAGCGTGCCACGTTACATCGCGAACTGGTTGTACGGGAAGTGCGTGGTTGTGGAGCACAGGCGTCGAAGTTGGTGGTGTTGCTGCTGGTACTGGTGGTGGTGGAGGTGGTGGCGAAAAATATTCGGCCGCGCTCGATGGAAATGTCGACGAGCTCGGCATCGATCGCGCGAAAATATTCGTTACGGTCAATTCGCCGGTACGCGTCCCCCTCCCCCTATTACTCTCTCTACCGCATCGACTCGTGTCATTGCACCGGCCACAGCGACCGCCATCGCCACCAGCACCGCCACAACCACCGCCACAACCACCGCCATCACCACCTCTGCCATCACCGCCACCGCCCTCGCGGGGTGGCACGAGTCTTTTCCCCACTCGGTAAAAATGTATCGCGATTCATACCACGACCGTTCGTCGATATGGATACGGCAACGTTGGCCGCCCGATTTCCTCGTTGACTCGTTTACGGTTAAGTGTCCATGGCGGCGATGGAGTTGGTGGTGGTGGTGGTTGTATCGATGGTGGCGACGAACACGAGGCACGCGCCGCTGCCAAGCCGGGACGTCGCACGAGAAAAAGAATCGTCCTCGCGTCCCTCTTCGACGCGATCGAGGCGTTCGAGCATCCGATCGAAGGAGGAGGAGAAGAAGAAGAAAAAGAAGAAGAAGAAGAAGAAGAAGTAGGAGAAGAAGAGGGAGAAGAGAGGGAGGGATAAGGGTTTTGAATAAAGTTTTCGAAGAGGACGTTCGATCTTCTCCGACTAGACGGCGATATTTTAAACTATCCTCGAGGAAAGATCCGCCATAGAACAATTCGAGGAAGACGCGAAAGCGTGAAATACAGGTTTTTTTCTATCCGTAACCAGAGCTCTCAGAGTCGAAAAGGACTTTGGCCGTACCTTTTTCGATTGTGAACTCCACGAGATCTCAAGGTCTTGGAGCGAGGCAAAACGCGAAGAGACTAGCATCCGAGAAGGGGCACGTACGAGGCTTGAGAAAAGAAATTGAGGAAAAGAGTTAGAGGGGCGTTCGTTAAGTAGGGAGAAGAAAGCGAAAAATATTCGAAGAGACGGTGAAAAAGTACGTACGTACGGAGGAAAAATCGAAATACGATAACGAAACGTGGTTAAAAGAAAAATGAGATGTATTGAAAATTGTGCAATATGCAACGTGACGTAATTTTGGCGGGAGGGGGGAGGGGAGAGAGGAAATGAACGCGTAAAGAAGCGACGAAAAGAAAAGAGAGGGAAGCACGGGGATGAGACGTTTGAACGTTGAAAAAAAAAAAAAAGAAAGAGACACGTCGATATTTTAAAGTTCGGACGTGAAGACAAATGGACGTGAAACAAAACGAAGAAATCGTAATGTCTGTCGCTAATAAATAATGATGGTAACAATAAAAAAAAACGCGATCGATTGAAATGTAAATAACGACGACGACGACGACGACGACGATGATAACGACGACGATGACGAATGACGGTGACGATGACGACGACGACGACGAATGACAAGAATGATGATGATGATGATGATATAGATTATAATAATGATACAATAACGAGGAAGAACGGTAAATAATTAAATAGTTAACGAATAATTAACGACAATGAGTAATAAAATAAATTATAACGATTAAGTAATTATTAACAATTATTAAAAAGAAACAAAAAAAAAAAACAATAACGTTAACGATAGAATGATTACGATTGCAGTTATTGTTACACGTTCGATGTGTCGCATGCATTCGAACATACACGCACATATATACACAATACATGCAACATATAACACAGGAATAATAAATTATTTCGAAAAATAAATGAAAAATGTGTACGATGCGTATAAAGGGATTGTAGCGTAAAAGGGAATGGAGCGAGAATGTGCGAAAGCTGGAGCGAATGGGACGCGTGAATATAATATAATTGAAGAAATTGAAGAGAGGAAGTCTGAAAATGGTCTCAAGAAAAAAAAAACCAAAAAAAAAAACGATATAACACAAAATGCAAGCACATGTTCCCGTATAAGCCATTAAACGATTAACGAAATATTAAAAAAACAAAAAAAGACATAGGTAGATAGTATTTCGGTCGTGACAGAAAAAAATACGGAGGACATACGAAACACGAATCGCAAGATTTGAGCAATTTGACGAATCGATATGAGAGAGAAAGAGAGAGAGAGAGTGAGTGAGTGAGTGTGTGTGTGTGCGTGAGAGAGAGAAAGTGAGAGACAGAGAGAGAGAGAGAGAGAGAGAGAGAGAGAGAGAGAAGGAATTATAATTAGTAGAAACGACAACGGAATAAATAAACACGACGTTATCGAGGTATAAATATGTGTTCGTTTAGATATTACAATAAATAAGTACTATATTAACATAGACGTGTAACGATATAAATTAAAACAAAGAAAACAGACAAGAGAGGGCGCGAGTATGTATGCGTGCATGTGAGAAGAAGGAAGAGAGAAAGAGAAGGAGAGAAAGCGAGAAGAGATGGGGCGAGGAAAGAGATAATAATAGGGTGAATGAAAAAAATTGAAAAATGAGAAAACATTGACTAGAAAAAAGAAAAAAAATCGTAGAAAAACTGAATTTTTTTATAGAGAAATATTCTAAAGAGATATTACGAAAATAGCGGTATAAAAAAAAAATATATATATATATATATATATATATATATATATATTGTTTCCCATGTTCTTTTCCGCACAGTGTACGTGGCTTCGATTTTACGAAAATAAAAAAAAAAAAAAAACTTTAGATATCCCAAGATATCTAAACAAGATACGAAACAAAATATACATAGAAGAAAAGAATCAAGAGAATTTAGTACGATATTATTTAAACGAAAAATAAAAGAAAAGAAAAAGAAAAAAAAACGTACTTTACTTACGGAGAGAATAGTACTTTACTTTTTTTCATTACCGTCAGAATTTAACGGTAGATTGAATCATGAAAAAGAAAGAAAGAAAAGAAACAAAAAAAAAAAAGAGATTGTTCATGGTATCCGTTACCATCTTCTTTTTCCGATCGCGATCCGTGTTTGCACGTATTTCGAAGGAAACGCGTTTCGTTTCGCGTCGAAGTGTGGAACTTTCGGTTAAAAAAAACGAATTACGTGTGGATCAGTTTTTTTTTTTTTTGTTCGAGCAGAGAATTAAAGAGAAGTTTCGAAAGCACACTGAAATCGCGAAACCGAATAACGGCGAAGCGAAGCCACGAGGGCCACTATGCGGAGAGAAAGGAGAAAGAGCGAGGGCGAATCTCTATACGCGAGAGCGAGAGGCAAACGAATCGTCGTCGTCGTTGTGTCGTAATTGCACGAGAGGGGGCATGCTTGGAGGAACACGTACACGCGTAAACAAAGAGGTATATACGTACGCATATACGTACAGCGCACACGGGAAATAAAGAAATGCACGCGCGGAGATAGAACGAAGGACACCGTGCCCCCGCGTGTGCATTCGTTACGTTGTTAAACATTGTCCAAATACATAATTGTTACTAACTTATAAGGTGAGAACGGAAGGATGCGAGTCTGTGTACGAATGTGAAGGGAGATGGAAGGAGAAAACGAATGCGAATGAAAGTGGAAACGGATAAAGAAGCATATAAATATTATACATATATAAATAGATACGTATTACGAAAGGGGCAGAGAGAGAGAGAGAGAGAGAGAGAGAGAGAGAGATCGGGTAGAGGAAAAAAAAAGGTTGTAAATCGAAATGATCTTAGAAAAAGCACGATTGCGCGATTACATATGTAAATATCTGTATTTACATGTATATGTATATATGTAAAATTTACGTGTATACATATATATGTATGTATACGTGTGAGTGTGTAAACACAACATGTGAACGTCCATGTATACGCACACATGTAAACGTACATATACCGTGTTTGTGTATGTATGAGAAATCTTAATGGAGGGAAAATATATGCGATGATGTACGCGTGTGTAGAGAATAACGAAAATAACGAGTGAAAGAAAGTGTAGCTAGCTATCCGCGAATGCTTTCCGTGCAATTTTTGCGGTTGAACGTAATGGCTGCTGCGTACCGTTGATGAAAGCAAGGAGAAACAGAGAGAGAGAGAGAGAGAGAGAGAGAGAGAGAGAGAGAGAGAGAGAGAGAAAGAGAGAATAGAGTAGCCTTATTAGCTGAAAAAAAAAATATATATATATATACGATATTTAGAGAGAAAAAAAAAAAAAGTAAAAAGAAAAAAATGTATGGCCAATAACGATCGAACGCCGATAAGAGACAACTACTCGGTCGGTAAGAGAAAAAGTTGATGGACACGGTGCACATTATATTTTAAAGCGATTAATTTCCGGTGACGAAAGGTACGATAAAAACGCACAATATGCAAAACGTAATTACACGAGCTACATTTTTTTGGCTTAAAAACAACAGACGAATCCGTAAAAGCGGTTATCCGTTAAAGCAATAACTTGGAACGTCTTAAAAGGAAAAAGAAAACGGCAATTCGATCAAATGTACGATTCAACGTCGCGATTGTGAAGGAAAGGAGATCGAGAAAGATGAAATTTAAAAGAAAAAAAAAAAAAAAAAAAAAAAAAAAAGAAAGAAAGGAAAAAAATGGGAAAGAAAGAAAGGAAAGAAAAGCACTCCGTACGTACGAACGACGATGATTCGAGAAGAAAAATGGAGAAAAAGAAAAGCCGATAGCCGATAGGTGCAAAAATCGCTTATTCTTTTTCCTCGAAGGTGGCCATCTAATTGGCTATTGGATTAAAAAACTTTCGACGTGAACAGAACATTTCGAAAACAGACATTTAAGAATGAGTTCCAAACAAATGAACGAATCCCCCTGTAAAGCAAGGTGGAATTGTAAACGCGCTTGATCCATCGATCATTGTTACACGAGATACGCGCAATTACACTTTTATTCGTTAAATTACGTGTAATATACTTACGCGTACACGTAAGCGTATCTAAGCGTAACCAAAATTCTTTTTTTGATCGGAAATGCGCGTACCTTGGGCGCACGTCGTTTATCGTTTAGAGCAAATTTAAATTCTTATCTTACTTTCGAGATTGACAATTTCTGAAACCCTTATTAAATTTCGACCGTTTCGGAAATTTCTTGGAAACAACGATGAATCCGTTAAAAAAAAAAAAAAAAAAAAAGAATCTTTTTACCCTTCTCTCATTGTTATCTCTTCCTCTTTCTATATCGGTCGAACTGTTCTCATTTTTCTTGTCGATCATGTCTCCCCAACTTCCGCTCGATTTCTTCTCTCTATCGACACGCTTCCCGCATCTCCGAGGAACGATAAAATTCATTCGTACGAACGTTAGAAAACGTCTTTCCTTTTTTTTTCCTCTCGAAATTTATCGTTCTCGTGGATCACGTATCACTCGTTCGTTCGTTCGTTCGTTCTCTCATTTAGAAAATGATAAGCAATGTTCTTGGACCATTTAACGAAAGGGGGGAAAAAAAAGAAAAACGAGTAGGCAGAGTATTTAAAGGGTATTTTCGCACTGTTAATCGCGAATAATATAATTTTTTTCGTATAGATTAAACTATTAAGCAGCGAAAGCGGTGAGCAAGCAATGAAAAAGCAATGGAACCGGCGTGGCAAAAGCGTGCAAAAATCCTTTTCGCAAGAAACGCGTTATTACGGTTGATCACTGACCAAATCGCAGCTGCGTTTTCAGACATCGTTTCGAGAGCTCTCGTTTCTTAAGGAGCCTTCTCAGAGAACGCGTCTTTAAATGGTCGCGTCTACATTCCAATCGATCCTCGAAACTCTCTGCTCGAAAATCTCTACGATAGCGCTTTCTCTATTGTCCATCTCCTCCCTCCTTTCTTTCTTTCTTTTTTTTTTTTTTCTTTTCACTATTCTTATTTGAAAAAAAGGCGATCTTGTTCTCGTTTCCAATTCTCTCTAACGCGAATCGATTGACGACACTCGTCATCCCGCCATTATTAATCATTTTTCGCGAATGTCAACAACGATCATAACGTGTTTAACGTCTAACACGTGATATTTCGTACGATATTTCTTTAGAAAAAAAAAAATGGGCGATGAGAATCCGTTTAAGCAAAAAGCATTCCTCGATGTGTCTGTCGAATTTCTTTCCCCTCTCTCTTTTGAAACGAAAATTAATTTCCAACACGAACGTTTATCAACAGGAATATTATTTTCACATTACAAAGAGAAAATGATAAACTATGGAATAGTTATTAAAGGAAGATAATATCGTTAAAAAAAAAAATTAAAAAATCTGCACTTGAAGCTGATCCAATCCCTTTGATTCCCTCTCTACTTTTTTACTGGATCGTTGGTGGAAATTAATCTTTTTTTACTTCCTTCTTCTCGTTTTCTTTCGCACTTATCGCGAGAAAACCAACAACGCGATGCGATAATAACACATCGTACCAGAAATCTGTGTAGATATGTGTGATTGCATGCATCGTGCAAAAAAAAATTAAGAGATCCTCCCCAACCCCTTCCACCCTCTCCAAAAACGCACAAAATATAGGATTTCGCTTCTCCCCTCTAACGTTCTCAATTTTAATCCGCTATAATAACCTTCCATTCCCTCTCTAATCGTAGTAAAGTTTTCATAGTTATGCATTTTCTAACGCTTTCTTCTGCTTCTTGTTCATCTTCTTGAAAAGAATCCGAGCGCCATTTTATTTTTTTTTTTATTTTTATTTTATACGTTTCTTATTATTTATCGCGCGTTATATAAACAAAGGAACGAGTTGGAAAGATGAAAAAATAATGCGGCTATTATGTACATAGATAATAGTAGTGCATCGATGTCAAGAGGAAGTTAAGAATATCCATCCAATCGTCAATCGTTGATGAAGCATTTAGACAATACCTTAAACTCGTTAGTCTTACTAGGATATAGTATATAATCATTTACAGAGTTGCTTCTCTTTTCTTTCGCTCTCCCAAAAAAAAAAAAAAAAAA